CCAGATAGTGAAAAATTGCGAGCATCAGATTATAATTGATGGTGTCGAAGGCCCTACTGAAGTCAAGTAAAACTAAAGCTGTGCATAAGCCTTGGTCAGTAGCTCTGCAGATATCATCTACAACGTGGAGTAGAGCAGTCGTGCAACTATACCCTTTACGAAATCCAGATTGTATCGAAGGTAACAGTGAAAAGTCTGAAAGGTGTTTCCGTAGTTGAAAGTCTATTGCTCGCTCCAGTACTTTGGAAAGCACAGGGAGAATACTCAAGCCTCTCAGATCTTTATATGCCATTGGATTTTGGATTTTTGGAATAACTTTAACCACTGCTCTTTTCCACGCTTCAGGAAATATATTTTTTCTACAAACGTCAAAAAATGACAAGGTTCGCGCATTGATAACAAATTGCGAAGTGACACTTTTTTTCAGTTTCCTACGTTACCATGATTCCTTGCACAAAACAATGCGCGAAGTAAAACAGTGCGCGAAGTACCTACTTCGCGCATTGTTATGTAAAATATATGAGATATTTATATTTCAACTTTATGGTCCTCAATCGAGCAGACATCGAATGTTCAACAATAACTTTGTTTTTTCTCTTGGAGCGCACGAAAGGAAATTCCTATTATGTTCGTGGAACATCGTGCGTACCTAGGGAGGATAGGGGGAGACCTTTCAAGCCAGTTCAACACTATTTTTCATATCAAGCTAAGCATATTTTCACTTTAGAACTATATTTTTTGACGTTTGTAGAAAAAATTTCGTTTGCAACTCGAGCGCGAAATACTTTGGTCATCTCGACTATTTTTTTAACTCGGCTACGCCTCGTTAAAAAAATCAGATCTCGATCACCAAAGTAGCATTTCGCGCTCTAGATACAAAAATAACTATTTTGTTAAGCAGAAATTTATTATATGGGTGATATATGGTACTATATGAGGACAACATAATTTTATTAGTTTCATATTTAAATAGTCGCACCCAATAGCATTAGTTCTGATTCCACAGATTGTTTCATATACAAAAAGGTCATTTATCTCTTCGAAAACAAATTCAGAATCGGTCAATCTGTTGGTTTCATAAAAACTTAGAAGTTCTTGAGGTGGCGACCTCAGTGGAATATTGTTAACTAAGAAATCATTAATTTCATCTACTTTTTTGAGGTCATTCGGCAAATCTCTCGACTTATCAGCAACCATTTTATTGTTTTTAAGAGTTTTCCACATTTTCTTCTTATCAGTGGTATTGAATTGCTGCACAAAATATGCCCTCTTTTCTCTTATTATAGCTTTATTCACATAGTTGCGCATATTTTTATAGAATTGAAAATGATTATCAGATTTCGTTCTTTTATATTTTTTGAGTGCATTATCTCGCAAAGTTATCATGTCTCTCAAAGTGTCTGTCAACCACGGAGCTCTTGGTTTAGTTATTCTAGAAGTTACAATAGGTGCATGCCTATCTAATATATTGAGCAAGTAATTCACCAATAGAGATACCTTTTCATCCACGTTTTCTTGATCAAAAATTCCAAAAAATGGGGTATTGAACAGATCCCTTTGAAATAGTTCATCATTGAAATTTTTGAAGCTTCTGTATGTATGAAATCTAGAACTCTGTTCGTTACTGCTAACTTTGAACACACAGTACACAAGCAAATTATCAGATATTCCATTAGAATCAACTACACCCTTCTCTGTTACATATTCATTCATATTAGTAATGATAACATCCAACAGCGTATTTGATGTATCTGTTATTCTAGTTGGACTGTCCACAACTTGAAATAATTCAAACGACTCTATGATCGAAACAAGTTTTTTCACATTACTAGAATTCTCTTCTAAAAGATTGATATTCAGATCCCCACAACATATGAATTCGTCAACAGAAGGGCAGATTATACTGAGAGTATCTTCAAAGTCGTTTAAAAATTGGTTTATATCCTGACGAGGAGGTCTATATGTATTACCAATGGCAACATTCTTTTTTCCAATTATAATTTTAATCCAGAGTTGTTCAGTATTATCATTATTATCAGTATCATTCATTCGCTGACTTTTAATAGTATTTTTACAATATATACAAAGGCCTCCTCCCCTAGTTTCACGATCCTTTCTATATAATTTGAACCCATCTATGCTGACTACCGCATCAGAAATATCGTTTCTGAGCCACGTCTCACAAATCAGAAGCAAATCAAAACTATTATAAGATATCAACAATTTAACTTCTTGGAGAGATGGTAATAATGACCTAACATTGATGAAACCTACTTTTATTGAGTTCATGAGTTTATTATAGCGTTGAAAATGTGAATGTTTTATATTCCCAAAATAAAATGAGTACAAGTTTCTTTGTTATCCTTATCACGACAAAAGAGATGATACAAAAAAAAATAGTGAGAAGAAATTTCAAATAAATTGAATACGGGTTCGGGTCAATTGCACATAGCGTGACATCTTCACATATTTTCGTATTCGGCTCACTTAACCATGATTAGAAAATATTTAAAAATGTAGGTATATAAATCGTAATAGATATGAAATAGGGAAAAATGATCCTTGGAAAATTGAAAACAATGATATATTCCTGAATATTTGTTACCTGAATCGTGAAATAAAATGGGAGGTAGTATTACAATTTGGTTTCACATATTATGTACATCATCGAAACATTTTAATTTTATCAAGTCATTTTCACCATTGAATTTGGCGAAGATATTTCCGAAATTCGTCCATACTCTCCCATTGTTGGCAACTTTGGCAATAGCAGCTTTAAATACTTTCATCTGTTCGACAGTGAGGTCTTCTTTAACAATGACGCCGGTACTTTTCAGTTTTTTCTTGTTTTGGTATACTATGTTTTTATGAAATAATGTTGAGAATCTCACCATAATTGGCCTATTTTTATCTCTTACATATTTCCCAACTCTGTAGCAGCTGTCGAGATGCCAACTTTCTATATCTATATTCATTTTACTTGACAAAATTTCTTGGATAGCTGCTGCACAATTCTCATTTCCATCCTCTTTGACGCCATAAAATCGGATATTTCGACTTCTCAGATGTTGTTCATGTTTCTCCTCCTTTTCAGCAAGCGATTGTAACAGAATATCTTGATTCTGCACTTTTTTCACCAATTCCTTGTTCTCCCGTCTTAGATTTTCAATTTCCTTGTTAAATTTTTGAGTTATTGTTTCGGTAATTGAGGCTGTTATGCTATTTATGAATTCTTCAGAATTACATAGCTTGATAACTACACTTTTGATAGTTGAGTGCAGTTCATCTTCACCCTTCCTTGTTGATCTGCTCATTATGAAAAAATATTTCCACTTACTGCAACTTCTGATGCATCAACAAGTTTGAAACACTGATGGATGATTGACAGTCCCTAATTATGATTGCACTCAAAAAATCAGCTTTTTTAGTTGCCGATTTACCACAAATTCTGGCATAAATGTCACACCGTGCGAAACACGTCTATTTCAACAGACGCATGGAGACAAGAAGAGAATGAAAATCTTCTGAAATTGAGTATTGACATTCTCCTTCGAAAATATAACTTCTCAATATATTCAGTATTGAATGAAAATTGAAATGTATAGGACAAGTATACTTGCACAAACTCTGATCTTGATGAGTTTGAAGCTCCCAAAAATTATTCGTATCAGTGAAGTTTGGGATACATCTCTCACTAACAGTTTATATGACTTTATTCGAATGAACTCATTTCGGGTATCAAACCCTCCTCACTCCTCAGTAACCTGAAGTCCAGTTAATTTTTTAGCCTGCATTCTTCTATAATATACCTGAAACTATAACGAGCACAAATCTTAGAATTATTTTTGACATTTACTCCTGTGATCTGGTTATAGGTTTTGTTTATATCTGTGTTTGTTATAGTGTTAGTTATATTATAGAAAAATGAAAATTATGTACCTATATCATGAAGAATGGCTGAAGAATAACTGGACTTCAGGTTACTGAGGAGGGTTTGAAACCCGAGATGAGTTCATTCGAATAAAATCATATACCTAACCTGTTGGTGAGAGATTTATGCTGAACATCACTGATATACGAATGATTTTTGGAAGCGTCAAGATCAGAGTTTGGAGTTTGTACAAACGAGTATACTTCTCCTATACATTTCAATTTTCATTTCAATACTGAATATATTGGTAAGTTATATTTTTATATCATCATATACATCATATTATTTATCCGATTTGAAAAAGAATGTCAATTCTCAATTTCAGAGAAGATTTTTATTTTCATAACTTTCAACAATTATTTCAGAATGATGCATCATTGAAGTCGAGCACATTATAGCCTTGATGACACCAGAAAACTCTTGTTTATTTTTTCAAATATGCTTCACATTAACAACAAAAACAATGTTGTGTATTACGCATTCAAAACAAGGTGATGGGCTAAGGATCGATTAATATTTTACTATTCATGAATATATGTTTAAGATGCAGTCGGATCCCGTACTATTTAATAAATGAATCAGACTTTCCCATTTCTAATAAATCAATATCCATTGTCATATATAGCCCCAATTTCTGAAAATATCGAAATTTTGTGACTTTTTTTAACGAAATGTATTTTTGCCATATTTACAAAAATTGAGAGGAATATAATTTCATATTATATTTACTGACATATTAATTTCAAGATGACAAATCGAATGCTTCAAAAATGAACATAGCATCACTTTTGAAAAAATGAAGTTGATAACTCCATAGGAAGAACAATGAAACTTGCAAATATTATTTTCAGATCCGGCAGTACTGATAACCCTTGTATAAAAAATTGCATCACTTTATGTGAAGCCATTGCTGGAACATTCGGTTGTTAGTTCCGGTTCTTCTGGGAAATTCTGTAAAATTTTTCCTAAATATTTTTATAGCATCGTTGAAAAGTAAATTTTGAGAAATTATCAGAAATTCACCTAGGTACATGGTTTTCATCTTAGAAGGTAATGTCTATATGTTTCCAGATTGGGTAGTCCATCATTGAGAATGGGCGAATTTTCACGAATCTCCAGCAAACACTATAGCTGGACTGTCTTAGAATTGCTACTAGTAGCATTCACTTGCACTTTCCTCATCTGGTGCGCCCAGTGTCTCTGGAGAAGAAGAAAGTTATACAAATCTGCCAGCCAGGTACCTGGACCTTTCGCTCTACCTTTCATAGGATGTGCATTATATTTCCTCGGTAGCCCTTATGGTAAGCCATCGGGAATATTCTTCTGGGTATTAGTTATACGGTGCGGCGTCGCTATTGATACAAGCAAACATTTAATATTATGTACCTACTCTACTCTACTGAGAAACTGATAAACACACTAGCGTGGGAACAATTACAGTATAAATAATATATCCCTGCAATCGACAATTAGAATAATCTGGAACTATGGAAGAGAACTTTTCGATATTATATACATGCCCAATTGTTAAGATAAAATTACCATAAATCATACCACACCTTCACCAAAGCCACTTCTTTGAACGACAGTTGTTATCAAACAAAATGCGTTCCTGAAAGTTTCACCCTGTATAGGAAACGAAGCGTCTTACTTTATTCTTCATGCATACAGGGTAGATACTTCCTCGGAAAAATGTTACTTTGAAATCTCTGCTATCAATCCATCACTAGCAATACCAGTCAGACGAATTCGACAGGCCCAGTTAGCAGATCCTTCCGTTGTCACCTTGTGGAACAACACTATACCAGAACTCGTTCGTCCATATACCTAGAAGGGCAAAGCTTTGGAATGTTTTACCAATGGAAGTATGCCCAAGTCCTCATAGCTTCCACAAATTGTAAAAAAGTTTCAATACCAGGTCAACAATTTGAGCAGGATTTGTGAGATTTATGAAATGAATGCGAAATAAATGTTGAAAATGCAATTTTATTTTTTGTTTATTCCAAGTATAATTCACGAAACAATAGAGATACGAGACTGATTTCACCTCATGAGAGTAAGATAACAAATTCAAAAGGTTCAGGTATCATTCAAACAAAAATAATTTTTCAAATCATAATTCTGAATATTTGCCTTATGTGACTCGATTCACAATTCTAGCGAATTCTCAAAAGTTATTAAAAGATATTTATGGCATGTGACACATCACTAGCAAGAGGATGGACTAGAGAACTTTCGAGGGAGTTGGAGGATCCTGGTCGCTGTTGGTACAGCTTTAATTTGAGTTTCACATATTTCGAAATTTTGCGAGTAAATAAAAGAAAAACTCGATGACTCTAACACAATACACATCTGAATAGAATTGAAATCCAGAGTCTACGCCTTATATTTTTTTCAAAATTTGAATTTGAATGTGGAACTTGTTTTTTTTTTGATGAACAGATAAAAAGACGATTGAAAGTAACCCACAGGGTTTGAAACGTGTGAACTAGTCTTAAAGGATAGCAGATCACCCCTTCATTCGACCATTTCAATTTGGCACACGATGCACCAAACACCCTGTATATTACTGAATTTCATAAAAATATACAGGTTGGTTGGAAAGTTATAAGACAAAAAAGATATGGGCAAAATTGATAATACATCCTGTTGCTCGGTTATAAGATGTCAGAGACCGATTAACCATGGTTTTTTCAAATCACCTCAGTGGCCCCTATTCACAATTCAAATATTTACCTTTACCAATGTAACACCTTGTATATATAATGATCAAAAATATTTTTATTTTTCTAGTTTCATCATTGAACCCAATTAGGTACCTTATCTATGTAGTATAGTTGGTCAATACATGAGTTTCTTCTTCATTATATACCGGGTAAATCAAATTCGAGGGCCACCAATGCGATCTCGGAAAGCTAGGAGATTCGAAGATGGTTAAATTAGGGGAAAATTGCGCATTCATGTGACTAAAAATATGTCGTCGAGAAAATTCATGAACCCGAGTATTTCCGGAGATATACGGGAAAAACAAAAATTCTGTAAAATCATAATTGATATCACATTTACATAACTACTTTTTCCCTACTATACGATGACATTTTCAGATTCACCATCCAACGTTTCATCACGCCACCATCCTCAACTTTATTTTTTATTATGGGGCCATATTGGATTTTCATTAATAATAATGAATTTTTTCTTCTGATTTTAACGATGTAAAAAACTGTATACTTGACTCAGTGGGAGACAACACAACCTTGAGCTAAAATCTATCACTTTTTTTCCTTGTATAATGAGGTAATTTGTGAGGTAATTTTGATGGTCGAGACAAAAAAAAACTATTCCGTCAGAAAGTACGCATTATTTGATATTAAATGGATTGATATCAAATGTAAATGCGAGTTTCTGACTCTGAAAATATATTGGAAATATTGAAAGTGACAGCGAGTGGTTCGAATGGAATTGTTGTACGTTGAAAAAGGATAAAACACGGCCTAAACTCTATTTAATGTATTCAATTATTTATTATTATTCGAAATTTCTGTAAATCATACTCATTTTGTGTCCCTCAATCAGTTGAAACGGTTTTTCTACAAAAAAATGTATATCGTAACAACACCTTACGCTCGTTCGAAGCAATGATTGGTCGATGATCTTCAAATCCGTAACAATAATCAATCGAATTTCAAATGGTTAAAATCCCTCCGTTGTTGTTTGCTTGATGAGTTTTATCTCCACACTGTAAACATATGCTTTCCCATTGAACATACTGTGTATGTACCTAACTTTTTTTTCTCCATTCAACAGATATATTCTCTTCTATAATGATGATGTTCAACAAGTATCCAAGAATATTCAAAGTGTGGTTTGGTCCTCGATTATTCTATGCCATTTCCGATCCGAAGTATTTCGAAATTCTTCTTCCTACTTGCCTAAGAAAGGAACCTTTATACGACAAGGCAAGGATGATTGTTGGCGACGGGTTGTTCACTGCATTAGGTAAGTTGATGGTAATGTAGATTTAAGATCGGAACTCACACAGAGGGTATATATGAATACATATATGCAGTGCTTTTCTTCCAAATTTCCCCAGTTCATTTTTTGAATGGGTAAACTGAAATAATTGAAACTTTGTATGATGAAATTGATGAATGAATGCTATATTTGTTATATACTAGGGCAGAAAAATTTGATAGAAAGGGGGATCTTGTGGCAAATTCTTTTGAAGCTCACGACGAATACTTCAGAACCCTAAAATAGAATGTGAATATCCTCACCTATACCCCAAAATGGCGGAACATCCAATAGTTGCCTGTATACTAACACATCAATTTGGATATTGTATTCCAACAAGATATGGAGCACCACCACATTACTCCAGACAATCTAGAAACATTTGGATAATACTGTAATGATATTTCCCTTAGAGGTGCTCTAGAAACATCATCAGTAAGACAGGAGTACAACGATCATTCTGTAACACGCATCCCAGATTGTTCTCCAACCTCCCAATGATTCCTACATGCACCAGCATATTTCCGAACACTCAATATATGCCGCAGTAACAAATAACGTGACACAAGGTTCTGGAATGTTCTGGAAACAATCGATGGACCAATTAGAGAGAGGGGTTTTGTTCTAAGAAGCTTCTAGAACAAAAAGAAGGAGACGGAAGATTATTCGAGAACGTTCTCGAACCAAAGCCTACCAAGGGATCTCATATATAAACGGCCATAAATACATTACATAAATAGTGGTTATAAATCAGATATAAATTAGTGCTTCTTTAGTTCAAATAAATCAGTTCGAAAATAAATAGTGTCGTGTTCGCTTCTGCACCCGAATAACGTAACAATAATTTCCCCGGTCGTTGGATTGGCCGTAGAGTTCCTACGGAATGTCCAGCCCGCTCGCCAGATTTCGAACCTTTAGACTTTTTTTATAGGGCTATTTGAAGCAAAATGGGTGCGAAACTGCACCTGCTGCAATATTGTATATACGACAGAGAATGATAAATAATTGTAGAAATGAGTGAGAGTTGCTGGGCTGTGTGCACGTGTATGTACATATGATGCACATGTATGGAATAAATTCATTTCAAAACAAGACGACTTTCGAAAAAAAAACAAAAACTAGAGTTTAGAACTTTTTTTTCGACGTATTTTTTCAACTAGACTACCCTTCGATGTTCAATTCTCAGTAGCAGACCTCTGCAAGATTCAATTAATCACATGATAATCCATTTTAATTTCAATCTTCTTATGCAACATTTTGACTGTTGAATAGACGATCGGTAGACCTTTCAATCAAGGTGTCACATGACCCCTATTTGTATTTGAAAAAATCGTCCATTACGTCTTTACTCCAACACCGGTGACGTAACATCTCTCATATGAATATCATGAGATGAGGCTTCAGAAATTAAAACTCACGTGTTTTTGGAATTTTTTCAAATGTCGCCCATTTCTGAAATGATGAATTTATCCCATACATTTGCATCATACTGTATATACCAAAGAAGAGAAGTGTTGTATTTCGTGCAAGATAATTTATTCAAATTCATACTCCTAGCAGAGCGCTTTATCAGCAGTGCATTCTCGTCAGGTTAACAAGGAAATTTGCCCATAAAAATATCTCTGGTCCAGTTTAAAACTATCGACATTATGGTAAAATACGGTACAAACATATTAAAATGTGTTTTCCAAAAGGGGGTAAAGTACAGATTACATTTTGTTAAGCAGCCTTTGTCGCTGCGACATGTCGTGTTGAAGTGACATAATATGATTTATAAACTGAAGAAATAATCAAATCAGGTTCAGATATTCAAGTGAAGAATGCCATTCTCTTATTCCAAAACTGCATGTTCTCGAAAAAACAATGCATTTGCAATTCGATCTCCCTATGAAATCATTATAGATTTTCGAAATATAGATAGTTGAATGAAGTATTTATGTATCTTTCATTCAATAATTTCATTTACTCTCATAAGTATGTATTATCAGAACGGAATATATTTCCATGATGAGTTACAAGAGCACATATTCTTGGGTAGTTATTTCAATTATTCAACTGAAAACTGATTTGTTTCATCAGAAGTAGAGTTATTCGAAATCTAGGACTGATAGGCGGCTCGGTGGTCGAGAACGTGAAGGCGCTGAGTTCGTATGGGGACTCCCACCGAGACATAGGTTCGAATCCTAGTTACGCCATGGATGTTTGTGTTTGTATGTATACCTACCCCGCACAAGTTTCGACTTATGGGGCGTTTGGTCCCAGTGCTGGGACCAACGAGGTATGCAATTGCAAAAAAATATATATAATTCCGTCAGAAGTTTCCGAAGTTTCAAATAGGGGCAGTGAAATTTCTGAATTGAATAAGTAAATCACAAATGTTCATACAGAGATACGAGCAAATTTTAAAACAAGAGCATTGCTAATATTGGAATTAGTACTCAGGTCTCTCCAAATAAGCGATGCACTGAATCCGATGAAGATTCATTATATTCTTTTTCAGAGTACTTGTCTGATCATCTGAGTCGATCCATCTTGCAGTGGAGTGAAAATAATAGGGCGATAACAGGACTTCCTGTTATAGATAATTTTTACTGGTGATGAAGCTTTGAAGCTTCGAAACATGTCCCACTTCCAATGTTGAATAAAGTATAGTTTTGGTGGAGTTGCATGTAGGATTTTCTTCCTGCTTTACTTGTTTGATCTTTCCAAACATGTGGTAATATTTACTTGAAGTTATGAATTTTCTCATGCACAGATTGAATTCATTTCGAATAATCATAACTAGATGCCTTCACTTATAATATCTTGGAACATCTCTCTTTAACACATTCGTGAATTTTTTTGGGAGAATTTGAGGCAGAGATGAATTATTTCTCAGTTGGCTGAAATACTTCTTTATGAATATATAGGAGAGTGGGATTTCTTTGGATAAAGTTTTTGGTCCTCATTTAGAGTTTTTTATTTCTACTCTGTAGTATAGAGGGGCGGCAGGGAATTATCCCTAACTTTGAGGGCAAATAAAACAAAAATTAGAAAACTTATTATAATTTTTTTATTGCCTTCAAGACACTGGAAGTTCCTTTAATACAGTTTTGTACAGGATGTCTTTCAAATGATGGCCTTCGACTTCGTTGTCAATACACTCTTATTGTACCTGATTTCTGAAGCTGAAGCTGATGTCTCGCGGTATGCGACCTATTTCCAGGAATTGTTGATTGTTTGGTCGTTGTTCATAAACCTTTTAGCTTCCAGATATCCCCATTGAAAAAAAAATGCAGGGAGACGGATTCAAATTCGGCGAACGCGAGATGTATACTTCAGAGGGTGATGCAGATCTCAAGAAACTGCTTACAACTCTTACAACAGTGTATTGACAACAAAGGCCATAATTTGGAAGACACCCTGTTCAAAACTATATGAAAATAACTTCCAATATTTATTTCTTGAGCGAACCATAATTGATTTAAAAGCTCGCTTGTTTGTTGGTTTATCTGAAGAAAATCAATTTGATGCATCAAAATGTTCATTTGATATCATTTTAAATTATAATTCTTGCAGGTTATCATTTCATTTCCTCATTGAAAATTGTTCACAATAATGTCGTTCATAATTTGGCCCCAGTAGGTATCTTCTAATATTTTGTGATAAACAGTGTTTTAGATACCGTGGAATTCAGCCTTTTCAGTCTAAACATTGGAAGAAATATTCTCAGATATATTATGAACATGAAAAAAAATGGTACTCACATGATAAATAAATAGGTAGGTAATTTTCTTCTGAACGGAGACAATAGCATTGTTTCCTGTTCAGTTGATAAAGATAGAACATGGTATTCACTACTGAGATCTGAAAATAAAAATGGTACTGGTACTGGTAGTGGTGGGGGACGTTTGCACGTCAGCAACTAGTCCCTGAGACTGAGACCTCTCTGCAAACCCCAAGTGTTTTCAATGACTGATGTGTTTCGCTCAAGAGAGCTGGCTAATATCCTTTTCAGGCACCGCCCATCAGCTCTCTTTCAGAGCACTGTTAATTGGAACGCAACAGTGAATCATGCAGGACTATCCCCAGCCGATGCTCCGAAACTTTACAATATTGAATTCGTAAATAAAATATTGAAAAAAGTTCCTTGCTCGTACTGGGAATCGAAGCCACGACCATGCGGTCGTGAGACGGACGCTCTTCCACTGCGCCAATCCCATGAAAATGGTAAATTCAAGATTAATTAATTAACCTTTTTTCATTACAAATTGCCACTGACAAGCTAGTGAATTTATCTTTCAGGTTCTCTGATAGGAAAATTCTTTAAACGCAGTGAGATTTTGGGGCAAATCATATGATTTGTCCTAACAACACGTATATTGAAATAGAAATAATAGAATTCATATTTTATATAGAGACAAGAGAAAATTTCAAAAAAATCTGAAATAATGATAGTTACTCTATTTCTTAAACATCACCGAAGGGGCTGATTGTTACCATATCAACGACCTCACTAGCTATGGTGATCCAAATCATGATTGTCAACTGATGCAAATGAACATTTTGGTGTGTTATGAGAAATAACTAAGTGAAACAATTGAATAAATCTTAGTCAAACACACCACACCAACTAAAATACGTTGATCGCGATGGAACAAATTGAAAAGGCAGTTCAAGAAGCTGAAGGTCAATTATTAGGAAGACACTAGTGCTACTGATTATTTCAGTACCTATATTCAATTTATATTTTCTGATATTATTTCGATTATATCTCCGGTTCATCAATAGTTATCAACTTGCGGTTTCCACCATATTTCTTCTCGCTTTCTCTACTTTCTTTTAAGAGTGAGGAAAATATATGGGTTCAGTAGTAATGAGAGTTTTTCGATAACGCTATTCCTCCTCCCGTCCTTCTATGTATTCGAAGAACTAGCGCAATATTATTATTCTCACAAAATTCTGTTTTTTATATTGGCCAATGCAATTATTACGCCCTTTAGCAGCCGTCCTGAAAACTTGAAAATAATTTTTAAAGACTTCTCTCAGCCACTTCCATACATATTTATCTTTTCCGATACCTGTGTGGCAATCAGTGTCCGTGATATACCACCAGCATCCTTTCTTAGTGGTAGCACCCGGTACATACCAACTGGTCATCGACCTTACGAGACGTCCGTCAGCCCATGTGTATTCTGTGTATGGTTTGTTACTAACTCCATACGCCACCTTAGGAGCAGCACTGTTGATTGGAACGCAACAGCGAATCGTGCGGAATCATCTCCGGTCGAGGCTATATAATTTATAACTCGTTTTATAAATAAAACTTCACTGCTCTGCCAGGGGTCGAACCTAGCAACCTTTCGGTGTTCTGATTGCTATATAGTCAGGCGATCAACCACTGCGTTATCCGCCGTCATTTCGATATATTTTACCAGAAGCTATCTCTTGTATTTGTAGCATTTCTCCTTGCCTTTCTGTCTCTGATGGAAGTTTTTAAAAAAAGTCGATTGAGAAAAATGTTAGACATTTGAATGAAAAAAAAAGTTCTCCAAGTTCGGCCCTGGAAATTCAAATGCATAAGCTGTATACATCGTTTCTGAAATATCGTTCATCAAAATTTTGCCCCGAATTAATAATATAACCATAACGAATATTCTCTATCTGCCTTTGAGCTAGGGCTGGTTATTAGTCATGAGTCATGACTCACCCTGTATCTCGGATATTCCTGAAACCCTGATTAATTTTTCGTGAGCTACCTGTGTAGTCATGTCAATTTAGCGGCTTCTTTTGTTTCAGTGCCTAAATGGAAGAAGAACAGAAAAATGATAGCGCCGACGTTCAATCAGAAAATTTTGGATAATTTTGTGGAAATATTCAACGAGCAAGCAGAAATGTTAGTTCAGCAATTACAGAAATATTGTGGAAAGGGAGAATTTGATGTATTTCATGTTATCTCGAAGTGTACTCTAGACACAATTTGTGGTGAGTAAATCGAAATAAGATTCAAGTATGCGCATGATGATCTCTATAGCCAGGGGCGGATTATAGTACAAGCCCGAAACGCCAGGGCTTGTAGCGCTAAATCCCAGAGGGTGCAAAAAATTCCAAATACTTTAAAAAAATAATTGGATCAGAAATTAAATTATATATTTCCTTATGTGAGTACTTTAAACTATGATACTTATCTTATAACTATACAACATATTTTTGAAATCGCACTGATTGCGAACAATTATCCGAAGTAGCAACTCTATAACAGCCCCCGTAACTAGTGGTGCCCGCAGGAGTCTCGTTTTCGAAAGTCTCGCATGATGGTCTCGTCTCGTTTTCGAGACAAGACTGGAGACGAGACTCGGACAAGACGAGACGAAACTTTTATTGGTCTCGTCTCGAGTCTCGTGCAAGACTTCTCGTGTCTCGTGCGAGAGTCTCGCAGGTAAATATTTCTGCGTGCCGACTGCAGGTTTGAGAATTTCATGCATAATACAACATATTTAGAAAGAATTCTGACTATTTAGCACAGAAAGACAAAACATTTCATTCATAAATACTTAAGCATACCGGCTACTTCAGTACCGGCGGAAAGGCCTCAATATTGATTCTGCACGATGTTTGTTATGTCTTAACGACTGGGCGAAAAACAAAAACATTTGCGATCGTGAAGGCTGATCTGACTGTCACTGATAAAGGTTTTTTTTCTTAGATACTTACTCATTTCTCAAATTAGTAAAATGATAGGGGCACAGGGCTCCTTTAAAATTAACCTGACCTTTTACCGGTGCTTATTTGCACAATAATTTTATTCAATGTTTTTTTCATAATGTGTGTTTTTTCATTCCCACGTGAGTAAATTCTCTATTCCATACATTTTTCAAGATTAACTTGTATCATATTATAGGAACTTTGGTTTGTGAGGATTGAGGCTGATGATGGACACATGACTGTCCGAAACATGTTCCCCTAAATAATCTTTCGAATATTAAACGTTGTGGAGATGATTCTGTGTTTCCTAACCCTCTCAAGTAAAATAATGTTGGATTAAAGTTTTTGATTTGTTTATTTGTTTCGAATATACGTGGTACTTCTTATTTTGAATTCATAACTTTCGAATATATAATGCTATGTTTTTCTTTCTTGTTCAGATGTATGATGTAAGTATGTACCTATTAGGTACTTACTTTTCGATAAATAATGTTATTTTTGTTGTAATTTTCTCGTCTCACTTCTACATTATACCTAAAAAGTAGGTAAAGGTAAATAGCCCGTACTAGACTGGAACAAGATTATGCATGACGAAATTGCGATACCTTTGCGAGACTCTCGAACGAGACGCGAGACAAGACGAGACTCAAGGCTGCGAGACGAGACTCGAGACAAGACTTCATATTTCATCGGCGAGACGAGACGAGACTTTATGAAAGTCTCGTCTCGTTGGTCTCGTGTGAATCACTTCCCGTAACTAGTTCTCCTCCTAAAAGTCATTACTCATAGATGGCAACATTTGGCAACGCTACACTGTATCAGCGGCATGTATATAGTTCGAGACATATATATTCGGGGAATATTAGGACACAGAAATATTGCAGATTTGCACTTCGCGCTATTATACATTTGCAGATATCATTGTGTTAGATTTGCTATGATAATATTTTGTTTGTTTCGTATTTCCGTCATGAGCGGCTTAAATAAAAAACTAAGTGTCGCTGAATATCGAAACAACAACATGAGCAAAGCACTTACTAACTGTTCAGTAGAAAGATCTTTGTGGACACTCAAGAGAATTGAAAATTATTTGAGGTCGAAGTTATTGGATTCCAAACTGAGCGACTTGGCCTTAATGACAATAGAATCAGACCTGCTCAAAAATCCAGAAGTAACACTTAGTAGGTAGTCCTAAGGTTTTTAGAAAATAGTTTATTAATGTTGTTCAACTATTTTTTAGTGTGTTATGTAATAAATATATATATAACACTGTCGCCAGTTCTGTGTGTCTCATATATAAACTGAATAAAACATTGAGAAGAGGGGCGAGCAAATATGCATGGGCTTTGAGCGCCTTCGAATGATAATCCACCCCTGTCTATAGCGGTGTATCTAGCATTGTGGTGAACAAACTTCTTTCACGAGAAGCTAGAAAAATTGAATCATTTTTTTATTTTTTCTTCACAATTTCACAATTATTTCATTATAGTGTTCGGGTAGATCAGTAAAAAATTCAAAATCAGTAAGGGAATCTTTGCAGACGAGTATTTTGAATTCGTCCCATTTTTCAATATTTTTCAAAAAGTCCTCTATTTGTGGTTTCAACTTCCAAATCCGTCCGAAAGCATTCTCATAATTCAGCTACGTTACTTTCATGTGGTAAAGGAAGCCAGAGTTAGCATCGACTTATTTCTGGAACTCTCTTGGAATTATCGGTGTACTGAGCCCCGCGCTCGAATGCATATTTTTGATAAGATGCATTAAATTTTTTTCAAGACTCAGAAAAAATTATAAATTATTTGACCTGTGGTTTTTCTTTTCAATGGTTACATGCTGGTCACATGGTCACTGGTGCTATAGTCTCCCTAGTTACGAAATCGTGGCGTCAGTTTTTATTAAAAAATGTTTAGCCGAAACATAAAAAGCAAAACGCAAAAATTTTTGCTGTGAACGCCGCCGAAAATTTTAAAAAAATATCAAATTGAAAGGTATTTCTGTGATGATTCTATTTAGTAATTGAAAAAAAAATTGTCCACTCGCCTATTATTTCATTTTATTACCTACATCGAAATCACGAAATGTGTTTTCGTGAAGTACAGCTGTATTCAGAAAAAAGCGTACAAGTATATTACAGAATGAAATTAACGTCATTCTATTTGCGTGAAACGGGCTATCGGAAATGTTCACCAAATGTTGACAGTAAAGTTGTCGAGGGTTCTCAAAGTATTGGCTGAGCCAGTTTTACATAACTAGAACTATGATGCCGTAAACCTATCTTTTTAACACTCGTACGCTTTTTTATTGAATACGACTGTATACCATCTGAATAAATTCATTATTAGCCAAACGATCCACTTCTTGAGAATCTGCTGAAAGAGGTCGATTTCAAATCTCAATTTTTGCAATTACTCTACATTCTTAAATAAACATCGAATATACAGGGTGATGCACGTTGTCCTTTTGAAAAAATTGTCGCGGACGTCATTACTCAAACGTGGATCACCCTGTATGTATATTTAATTTTTTCTTTCAAATGCGATTAAGAATCAACCTATTCTAGGAGATTCTACAGAAAATTGATAGTTTAGCTAAAATTGAATTAATTCAGTACCATATAAAAGCTGTAAGGGGATCAGTATGCATAAACATTGAACAGCACATCTCATAACATTTCGACTGATATACGGAACATAATTATTACGAGTATTGATGATAGATAAATATATATGGTACTTAATTGACTTTGTCAAATTTCAATACTTTCAACCTTTTTTATATTTTGTTTGGTTTCTTGAACTTGATTTTTTATCTCTTGGAGCGCACGAAAGGGAATTCCTATGATGTTCGTGTCACATAGCGCGTACCTAGGGAGGACAGAGAGAGGAAGTAGCTGATTCTTTCCTGAATGCCTATCGATCTCGATTTAGGCAGGCCACGCTAGACACCTACAGACTTAGTAGAAATAATGTCTATGAAGGACGACTCTGGAGGAATATAATGCTGGCTCGATTTTTGTTTGGCAAGGCTACGCTTAGTCGGCGGTCTTAGGATTGCTGGCTGGAGACTTCCCTGTATTGATGAGAGTCAAAGAGCTCGAAACCGGTGTCTAGCGTGACCTGGCTGAATCGAAATCAATAGGCATTCAGGAAAAAATCACTTGAATAAGCAGTGATCATTTATACGAGTCGATGCATAGATTTCGGCAGGATGTAATTCAATGTTCTGCGTGGCATTAGCCAGGAAAGTAATTGTTTTTCTCCCGAAATCTACCATTGTTGTTCATTTTATGAAAATTGTGTAGATATGACTTTGAGCTTTTTGTATTTATTCAACATTACATTCCACTTTGCGGATTGTGGCTATTTCGTAGTTGTTCCTACACATTGCGTTACACCTACATTTCGATAGGCCCACATTTCGTTAGCCCCATATTTCTCTATTCTCACTACGGTCTCCGAACATACCCAAAAGATGCACTTTTGCCAGATGTGGGTATAACACAATGTGCGTTAGGCCCACAATATCAAGTAAAGCGTCGAGCTATAGCATTTCCCTCTTTGGCTCAGTGAATTCCAAATACGTAATATTAGGAAAAAAATACTCTTTCTGCATAAGGAAGAAGGCTACTTTTTCTGAACATTCTAACCTAACTTGGCCTAAATGAACCTCCTTTCTAGGAAGTATATTCTTCTGAAAATTAGTTGAGAGAGCAAAATAGGCTATCCTCTTTTAAAACAATCTTACATATTCCGGCCCAAACGAACCCTTCTAAAAAGTATATTTTTCGGTAAATTACTTGAAGGGATAAGGGAGACTTTTTTTTAAACAATCTTAGCTAACTCAGCATAAATGGACCTTCTTCCTAAAAAGTATATTTTCCGGGAAGTTACGCATGAAGCATATATTATATGGCAACAGTGCTTCTTTCGGGTATATGTTCGGATACTGTGGGAATATCGAAATGTGGGGATGTAAAGGTTCTGAGCAATCAGATGCGAATATCAAGGTACAAACAGTTTATTTCCAAGATAAGTTCGAGTTCTAAAATGTACATAAACATAATACCTTTATACAGAAAATGGGCAAATCCCACATACCTAAATCAGGGACACTTCCTCACCCAGTGATACTGAATTGGGAGATTCCCCCAGGGATTCAAAATCTCGCACACAAATCTTCGAAACGTTGATATCACAAATTTCGTTATTGATATCTCTATTTATACATTCACCTGACAACGAGGCTATGTTTCCCCAAAACACATTAATAAAGCATGTTCCTGAATTCCTGAATTCTATTACAACTTGCCTCGGGGGAATCTCCCAATTCAGTATTACTGGGTGAGGAAGTGTCCCTGATTTGGGTATGTGGGATTTGCCCATTTTCTGTTTAAAGATATTATGTTTATGTGAATTTTAGAACTCGAACTTATCTTGGAAATAAACTGTTTGGACCTCGATATTCGCATCTGATTGCTCACTTGCTCAGAACCTTTACATCTGGCGCCCAACGTGGGGCTCCGTGTTCGGTACATATGCCTGGACTCCATTCCAAATTTGATTGCTCCACGTTTGGGCGCCAGATGTAAAGGTTCTGAGCAATCAGATGCGAATATCAAGGTCCAAACAGTTCATTTCCAAGATGAGTTCGAGTTCTAAAATTTACATAAACATAATACCTTTATACAGAAAATGGGCCAATCCCACATACCTAAATCAGGGACACTTCCTCACCCAGTAATACTGAATTGGGAGATTCCCCCAGGGATTCAAAATCTCGCACACAAATCTTCGAAACGTTGATATCACAAATTTCGTTATTGATATCTCTATTTATACGTTTACCTGACAACGAGGCTTTGTTTCCCCAAATCACATTAATAAAGCATGTTCCTGAATTCCTGAATTATGTTACAGGGCTAACAAAATATGGGCTCGAATGTGGGCCTATTGAAATGTAGGTGTAACACAGTGTGAAACGACGATGTGTCGATACGCTCACAATGACTGTTTCAGTGAATTCTGGCATATCCGAATAGTATTTGGCAACAGTGCAACCATCCAGTATTTTCGGAAACTGTGGGTATATCGAAATGTGGGCATACCGAAATGTGGGCCTATCGAAATGTGGAAACAATTCGATGTCGGATAGTAACGAAATGATGATATAACGACATGTTCCCCTTAGATGATCTCGTTTCTCATGCACTGGTCGTCAAGCGTCACTCTTCAAAAATCTAGGGACATTCTTCACCCTCGACCTACCCGGCCTGTTGTAATGCGCCCTTTCATTATTGTGTGGAGTTTCAAGCCAAAAATATCTTAATTACATTCCTTTCAAAAACTCGTATCTTCCATAGATGCCATATTCTAGAGGTGCCCTGTAGAATAAACTCACCTATTTTTCAATGCGATTTTCAAATCCCACACATACATGACATCATGATTTTCTATATGGTCCGCACATTAGATGAACTGTTAAAAATTGAACTATGATGAGAAAGCTTCATTTCTCTATTTTACTTATATTTTTCAGAGTCAGCTATGGGAGTGAAAGTAAATGCCCAAACAAAAAATGCTGAGTACACAAAATGGGCAGACAGGTATGTATATCAATAGTTTTAGTGATTTAAAAAATATTTAACAAAGTATAAGTCGATTTTTTGTTGACGTTTAACCTGAACTACCCTGTGAAGCATCAACTTGAACTTCCCAAAATTCAAACTAAATCTAGAACGGTTCGAAATTGGCTCAGGTGAGTATATTCAGAACAAATTCGAGTCCTTTTATCCTACATCACATGATAATAATAATAATAATAATATAATAATAATATAATAATAATAATAATAATATGTTTATTCAGAAATAATCATAACAATAATAATCATAACAATAATAATAACAGTGTAGCAATAGTAGAATAATGAATGAATAAGAGTAAAATGAGTAATTAATGAGGTGATGATGAGTAAATCATATGAATAAACATAGGGACACCGCAAAGTCCACAGAGACTGATCGCGGCGTGGATAGTACATAACTATACCTATCCTATACCAGCCTATATAGATATTTATCTGATGGCATGTCATAATGACAACGTTATGTCACTCAATTTTGATGACATAAGGAAGCTCATTATGGGACTAAGTACCATAATGAATTCATTATGGGACTAAGTACCATAATGAATTCATTATGGTACTAAGTACCATAATGAAATTCTATAAGGAAAACATGTAATGGTTTGATCAAAAAAGTGTATTCAAAATGCATAACTATGTACAAAACTATTTATTATAAATGGTAGAAGAACAATTACTACAATTTGTAATATTAATATAATGGCAAAGCACAGCTCACTCACCTACTAATATTTGAAACTACACAATACTTACTCCTTTAAAAATAGTTGTCATTGTGACATGTCGAAAATGCAGTTTTTAATTTTTCGAAAATGTATTGATATAAATGCCATCAGATAAAATTTTGTATGTAATACGAATCATAAACAATCATTATGGCACACGCCATGTTATCGGACTCGGCTACGCCTCGCCCGATAACATTCACGACTTGTACCATAATGATCGTCTTTATGATCCTTATTACATAAATAACTATTATATCAAACACAAATACAAAAATGTCATATTATTAGTAGGTAGGCAGTGCATGTATTCACTATATACATTTATAAAACATAAATAAACAGAAAAGCCCATTGAGGACCATTAGGTTGCGCATGAGCATGAGTATCTGCATATTTATCATCATAAAGAAGAATATATTACATGAAGCTACATGATCCATTTGAAAAACATGAAAGAAATCCGTGCGCGTGTGACAATTCTCTTGTGAGGCGAAGCCGAACACAGGAAGTCATACAAGCACGGAAAAATCATTCCTGGACGAGTAATGAACGATATTTTTTATTACACTTCGATAAAAATGAAAATATAACATTGAAATATTACATAAAGAAGACAAAAAATAAACAAAGGACATTTTCATTTTTACAGTTGTAGGAATGAAAAAACTTTGAATAAATTCGCGGTCGCTTGTGCCGCTTGCTCTAGGATATTATCGGGAATTTCGGGATTTTCTTCAGAGTTCATTTTGTCGTCATAAATTTAATTGCCGGAGCATGAACGATGCTGACAATACAGTGTTTGGCATGTATGATTCGTTTCCATGGTTATTCTCAAAGTTTTTCCGAGTACGCTGTTTCCGTGCAATAGCCCGAAAAAGCCTATCTTACAATATTACTAATATAGATGAAAACAAGTTGATTTCAAAGAAGTGTAATGAATAGTTATTTATACACCAAGGAAGTAAAGAATATCAATATTATCCAGGTACCGAGATATTCTTCACTACCAATAAGGTGTATATTAAATTGTTTTCACCACATACAATATATTTCAATCATTAATTATTGTTCTATGAAACTCAAATATGGACCTATTGGGACTATAAAAGCCGAGATAAAAGCACTCTCCTTCAATTCTAATTAAAATATAAGTCATGACTATGACAGCATATGTCAAGTCATCATTGATAAATACGTAGTAGATTCGAGTTCCATTTCTGCGAATATCGCATTAGAGAAGTGAATTCGGGTTAATAATCATAATTATAATAATAATATAAAAATATAATCATAACGCAGAGGTGGCTATTTCATTATTGACTAGTGGTTCATAAAATGGCGAAAACTACCTTGGTAGTAAAACACACACTTCACGCCTCGAAAAGAAGTGAATAATAATAGGTTTTACAGCTAGTGGTGGAAAAAAATCATTATCAACCAACCTTCATAATTCTAGGCATGAAAATAAATGATAAATTTCAGGCATCGCAACGAGAGTGTTTCGTTATGCATCATCTATATTATTTTGACAAGACATATAACTTCCAAATGATGATTGTGACATAGTCAATAACTTATTATAGTGGTGGATGGAAGGTCACTAAAATGCTCGAAAAACGTGCTGAATTATAAATGGTATTCCATTTCTAAAAAAATACCCTCAACTTTCTAAATTTTTTCGATACGTCGTAAATATGGAAATATTTTCTACCTATAGACTTTGTTGTTTAGTTTAAATTCATTTCATTCTTTTTCAATTATGCCATAGAGCTTGTGCAATTGGACTCACTATTTACCCACTCTGTATAGCTCGTTGTGAAGAAAGATCTTAAAAAAAAACTAGATTATACTGATTATAGCTGTTAGTTTGTGTCAAGGTGCAGTTATTCTCAGTATATACACTGCATAAAATAAAACTATGTTTAGAAGTAGAGCAATATTTACGAAATTGCGTAGATACCTACTTTATATTCGAGTAAGGTATTTTAATAATTTTCCATAGATTTAAGTCAGGTGTACATATAGAATACAAAGTATGTTCATTGGTCCGCCATTACCTCCATACCGAATAATTTGGTTATTAGGATAGGAACCTACCTACCTACATACCTATACCTATAATTTCACTAATAACGCCTGAAACAAAATAAATAATTAATCATTTTCAATCAAATGTAAGCAATCATTTTTGAGCTGAAGTGAATTGGGACAGATTTTCATATTTCAGCCCTAGTATTCTCCGGATTACGGACTTTTGAGAAAAACCCTGTAAATAAATAGCTTTTCGAATTGCCAGCACGTATATGTCGTTATTATCAGATCGATTGCGAAAAAATTATTTTGTTAGATAGACTTGGGATGTCAAAATATAACAAGAAAGTGATTTTATTCTTGGACTATTATCGTGGCCAACTGTGATCATATTTCAAAAAGTACTATTAGGGATTTTTTTCACTAAAAATGATTATGGATTCTGAGTCTTGATCACTTGAAACATACCTGTTCCGATTTTCATCATCATAGAACAAAGAGGGTATCCGAAAAAACGGATTACTATTTTTTTTGAATACATGATCAGAAAATGTAGAACTGTGTCATTTTTAAAAAGAACTAATGAAACATAATTATTGAGGACCGATTTTTATTATTCACATATACAATGTGTCTGAGAAAAAACGAATAGAAACCGATAAATAGGTAATCAAAACTTTGTATCAATTTTGTTTTCATCTCTTTGATCGCACAAAAGGAAATAATTCGTTTTTTCGGACACCCTCTACTCCAATTCAATATTGATGATAATCAGTAAAGGTATTTTTCTAGAGTGATCTTTATTCATATGGTATATTTTGAGTAAAGAATCATCAGGATAAAAAATATTGCTTTCTTAGTTTTTTTTTCTTAGACACATTTGTATATGATGAAAATTGGTACAAATATGTTTGGAGTGTCTCAATAATAATTTGTGATTGGTTCTTTCCAAAAATACCGTATTATCACATTTTCTGATTACATATATTCAAAAAAATTAAAAATTCTTTTTTTTTTGACACCCTGTGTTTCATGATTATGAAAATCGGTACAGGTATGTTTCAAGTGATCTTGATTCAGAGTCCACCATTATTTTCAGTGAAAAAAATCCCTCATAGTACTTTTTGGAATATAGGTCAATATAATTAGTCGCAGTTGACCACGATAACAATCCAAGAATAAAATCATTTCCTTGTTAGATGGACTTTTCGAATACCTATCCAACAAAAAAGTCGAAATCGATCAGATAATAACGATTTAACTGGGGTGGTAAGTTCTTAGAGCATATCATTTCAGGATAATGGAAATAATATTTCTCCGGATATTCGTTTTTTGGTACCATTATGACAACATTTTCCATATGACAAATTTATCGAAGGAATGTCAGGAGATAATAAGAAATATGAAAGGATTCTCTGGGAAGGTGCGTATAATATCCGTTTGTAACAGTTATAGTAATTATACATTGTGTTCATGAAAAGTCACCTCTCCTAGTTAGAAGTCCTCAATGTACTTGACCCTCTTGTCTCGAAGTTTTTTTTCAATTTAGAGTATGGACACTATGACAAGAACTGACCCACTGGCAGTGAGACAAAACCACAAATAAATTTATGAAAAAATTGGGCACTGATCAGTACACGAACGTACATTACATAAATTTCTATGGTTTATCAAATTGAGAAAATTAGTAGAATAAGATGCAAGTTGATGTTTTCAATTGTGAAAATACTGGATATCAATTCAATATATTATTCAAATTCCCAGCCAATAACACATAAAGGTTCAGGCAACAAAATTTGCGAGGTATTCAAATTAAGCGCATCAATTTATAATGTAAGTATAGGATGAATATCAAAAAGAGCCAACTGATTTGGAGCGAAAATGGAACGAGAAACTGGTAGAAAATGAAACTCATTTCAAACAAATTTCTAATGAAAAAGGCTTTATAATCGAAAATTTAGTTTACTAATAAAAATAGTAGTTTAAAAAACTGAAGAAACACACTTTCAAATATAACTAAACTAAAAAGAAGTAGAAAATAAAATAATGAAAGTGTGTTGATAAATACACAACATAGAATATACTGATTACTGGAGGTGCTGATATTCTCTGTGTTGTGTAGGTATTTATACGTATACTTTCATCATTTCATTTTCTACTTCTTTTCAGTTTGGCTTCATCTAATTATATATTTCTTCAGTTTTTCAAACTACTATTTATTTTTAATTTCTCAGTTCGACAAACTACAAAACCATGTTTTATAGTTTTTCTTATATTTTTTGTAATTATACCCAATTTCGACAAAAGAATTATAATCTCCGACCCCGAAAACCCCTAGACACAAATCTTTGATAGAATCGGATCATGATTACAAAACCCGTCCGCCATATTGGATCCACCATATTTAATTTTGCAATTTTTACGAAACAATCATAATCTCCGACCCCGAAAACCCCCGATACCTATTTTAAATAAAATCAGATCATAATTACGAAACCAGTCCACCATATTGGATCTGCCATCTTGAATTTCTCAATTTTGACAAGAGAATCATAATCTTCGACCTTGGATACCCCGCCCAGATACCAATTTTGAATAAAATCGGATCATAATTACAAAACGTGTCCGCCATTTGGATCCGCCATCTTGAAGCTACAAATTTGGTACAAATGTAGACTGATTTAATATAAGCAAATTTGGATGTAGCTATTATCGGTCTCATTTTTGCAACCCGTTCGTGGTGTTGCTAAATTGATGAGAATTATTTCGAAAAATCATAATACGCAAATGTTATTAATTCCAACGTGCCTGTTGATGTTCCTTTTCAAAATTTCCTTCCAAAATTATGCATGAAATTCCAGGATACTTCAACTATCGCTTCAATTAAGTCATAGTTGGAAGTTAAGTATCTTACAGGGTGATTTATAATGAACTGTCAGAGTTGACTTATTCGAACGGTCATAACTTTTGTTATTTCAAACGGAGTATCAAGACTGTATAAAAAAAGTGTAAGTGCAAGAAAGTAGGTCTGAAATGCACACATGTGTGCTCACGAGAGGGAGTACTCTGATTGAACTGTTCAACAGATTTTCCATATCTTGTCCTGATTATTTTATGCAATATGGAAAATATACAGAAATGATAGTTCATTTGCATGTAGGTAATAAATATTTCATCAATTCATTAATCTTTGAATCAACTAACAAAATCACCGATCTAGTAGCTCTGCGTTTGAAGAACATCCTGTAGCGATCAAAATGATGTTGCTTTATATAGATAATCAGTAGATGTTAGTAGAAACTGCTCTAGAACTGTCGCTTTCAAACAGGCAGCATTCCATTGATGGCAGAAAAATCCAGGCCCTGCGACTAGAGCAGAATATGTCGAGGCTAGAGGCATATGCAATGTGACAAATCGATCATCAAAGGATGCTCATAATGCCAAAATAAGATCAAAACTTGTTGAATGTCCAGACGGATCCCGTTCATTTTGGCCCTTCGCCAAAGCTGTAGGAAGAAACTTCACTTCCAGCTCGTTTCCTCCTCTAACCAAGAAAAATGGAACACTGGCCATAACTGCCCAGGAGAAAGCCAAGATTTTTGCGCATTCATTCGCTGGAAATTCCACTCTGGATTCATCGATAAAACAACCTCCAAACAAAACGCCAATTGACAGTCATATGCCCGAGATTACCTTTCGCCAACGTACTATAAGGAAGATTTCATTGAGTCTCAACACCAACAAAGCTTGTAGCTCTGACGGAATCGCACCGATTGTTCTCAAGAAATGTGCTCCCGAACTAACACCTGTACTCTTACAAATTGGGGATATTCCCGCCCAACTGGAAAATTGCAAGAGTACAATCAGTTCCTAAAAAAAGCAAAATGATCCTACCTAGCAACTACAGGCCGATCGCACTGCTATCTATCATTCCAAAAATCATGGAGAAAGATATCAACATCAAGCTCATTGAATACCTGAAACATTCAGGTATTATCAACGATAGGCAATATGGCTTCCGTCATCAGAGATCAACTGGTGACCTGCTCGCTTACGTCTCACATATATGGCTATTGAAAAATATGGTGAAACCTTAGCCGTGGCACTTGATATCTCCAAGGCATTCGATCGAGTCTGGCACCACGGACTCCTCGCCAAGCTTCCATCTTATGGCTTGCCTCCCCAGCTATGTTCTCTGCTTGCTAGTTTTCTCTCAAACAGGTCACTTCATGTATAGTGGTCGACCATAGACCTATTATCGCATGTGGTCGACGTAGTTTCATCTGACTCTCTTATCATAAATGCTGGTATTCCGCAAGGACCAATTCTAGCACCAACACTATTTCTACTCCATGTCAACGATTTGTTGGAAGCAACTTCATGTACAGTACACAGCTTCGCGAATGACAGTACCCTCCATACCGCCTTCTCTTCCAGGGCTCCAATACCAGCCAGGCAAATCAGAAACGAACAAAGGAGAAATGTTGACAACATGAATATGGACTTGACAACAATTCTCGAATAGGGATCCAATAACTTGGTAGATTTCAATGCAAACAAAACACAACCATATGCCTTTTCTCTAGAAAAGACGATCTCACTGTGCCCAACATGAGCTTGTCAGGAGTAACCATACCTTTGAAGACATCCATTTCGATGCTTGTTATTACTATCAGCAATAACCTTCCTTGGGAAAATCACATGAGATCATTTGCTGAAAGTGCATCCCAAAAACTTGGTTTTCTGTTTCGGGCCAGGAGCTATTTCACTTTCGGTCAGCTGTTTATGATCTATAAGGCACAGATCCAACCTGTCCTCAAATACTGTTCCCAAACATACCCTGAAACTGTTGAATTCTGTCCATAAAAGGGCAATTCGTCTCGTGGGTGATGCCTCGTTCACAAACTCACTGACTTCTCTGGAACACCGTAGAAAAGTTGGCGATCTGGCTCTATTTTATAGATATTTTCATGGACGATGCTCTTCTGAAATATCAACAAATGTTCCTCCCTTTTGGCAGTCCCCGCGAGATGAACCCGTCGAGTTGAGGCTTCGCACTCCTTCGTGGTCACTTTGGAGACCTGCAGAACATCTCTTTCCAAAGACTCGTTCATCCAACGAACAGCGAGGCTCTGGAACACATAGCCAAGGAAGGTGTTCCCCGAGGCATATAACCTCCAGAAATTTGAGAAGAACACCAATTTCTACCCCTTATTTCCCTTATATTACAGGATATTCCTTTTCGTGGGAACCAGAACACAAAAACACCTAACTATTGCACTATTTCCCCAAAACGATGTTCTCCCCTAATAGCACACATCGTCCTAGGGACGGATATTTTTCAGGATTGTCACCCAATTATTTTCTGATCAGTATCATATAGAGTACATCATATCAAAAATTCAGCGAAATCCACCGAACTTTTTTTTCATGGGCGCCTCCCATTCGGTGAGGGGCAATAATACAAAAAGGCGGTTTCCATAATTCTGGGTAATGGAACATTTTTTATCACTTTTGACGGTTGGGCGAATTCTCTTTTTTTTTTCGTTTTTCAAAATGGGAGTTTGGGGTAATAATTCCCCCTCACTATATTTTTTTCAAAAAGCATATATTCATAGGAGAAATAAAATGAAATAAAAAATTCTAGAATATTGTTCATTCTCTCAGAAATAAATAATCAATTCGGTCAAAATGTGAATTCAACCCCCCCTAGCAAAAAAATTGTTCATTTTTGGGGGTTGGCGCAATGCCAATATGTAATTGAATCAAATGAACTACATCATACCAAAAATTGAGAAAAATCCACCGGGACCCAAATTACCTTGGAAATTTGCGGGGTCCTTTGGTGACTTTATCAAAAAGTCTCACAAAAGTTTAGCTAATCGGCTGTACTATTTAGAAAGACTATAAATTAGGGAAGGGGTTACTTTGATAACACAGTGTAATTACTAATTCATTCATTTTATAAAATGCCTAGTAGTTATCTAAATGTGAATTGTAAAATAAGTATAGAGTAAATGTTCATTATTTGACTCAACATTTTAAGAATTCCCAATTTATTTCTAATTTACCTAGTCATTCAGGCAACGACTTTCCATGAAACAAAATAAAAATGCATTCAAATCAGATTTTCATAGGTGGTTCGTGAGAAGAAAAAAGCTTTTGAGGATAAGTTAAAGGACATAGAATATTCGAATAATGGATATTTTGATAATGGTGAGTATGATATTTGTATTCTTATGGTTCACCCAAATATCATATTTCTTGAGTACATATACTTATACAAGGTGTCCCAAAATTACATAGAAATATTTCAACCACAGATTTTAGGAACAAAAATAGTACCTAGGGGAGTTATAGTCATCTGAAAGAGGGCCCGAGATGATGGTTTTTTGTAATAATTTCCAAAACCCTCTGTGATGAGATAACGAATTTTTTTTCACCTTTCATGCCCGATTTGAAAGAATTTCTGGAATTTGGATCAGGGGCGCGAGAAATAGGTAGGGCTAGGCGCATTTCTTCCCCAACTTTTTTTCTATGCAAATTTTGGCAGTTGGATCAGGAAATATGAAAATATCATAATTTTTTTAGTTTTCATAGCATTCACCATTTTCGTGATAATTCGATCTTATGAGCCTGCTGCGTAACAAAAATAGTGCTTTTTCTTTATGATGATAGGGTAAAAATTTTTCCAAAAAAATGTGTTTAGATGGAAAATACTCTTTATTCAATATCTACTTGTGATGTTTGATTCAGAATATGGAAGGAACAATAAAAAGAAAGAATTGAAAAATATTATGACAGGTATAAGTACCCTATCCAGAGAAAGTACTATTTTTATTACGCGGCAAACTTTTAAAATCGATTCATCTCGAAAATGGTGGGTGCTATCAAGACTAAACAAGAGTAAAAATGATGATAATGTCATATTTTCTGGTCAAACTGCCGAAAATTATGACATTATCATCATTTTTACTCTTGTTTAGTCTTGATAGCACTCGCCATTTTCGAGATGAATCGATTTTAAAAGTTTGCCGCGTAATAAAAATAGTACTTTCTCTGGATAGGGTACTTGATTGTACACAATTTCGTCATCTCATCACAGAGGGTTTCGGAAATATTTACAAAAAACCATCATCTCGGCGGGCCCTCTTAGAATGAAATTTTGGATGAAGAAAAAATTGAAGAATCCAAAGTGGTTCTGCTAGCTTAATTATACTATTATTTGACAGAGTTCCTAATGTTTTCCTGTTTATCCTTATAGAACCAATGAAGAGAAAGGCTTTCCTTGACTACCTAATAGAAATAAGAAATGACGAAAAGAAGGGTTTGAGTGAAGAAGAACTCGAAGATGAAGTGAATACTTTCATAATTGCTGTAAGTTCATACTAGGTACATTATTATACAGGGTCCCGCCGATTTAATAGTATGGCTATTTCCTAAACGGTAAGAGATAGAAAGTTTTGATCGAATTAGACGAAAGGTGCGTAATTTAATCCTTGTCAATATCAATCAATCAACTTTATTATTCCCAATATACAACATTTGTTTATAGCAGGGAACAAAATGAAGAAGACAGTAAAAATTAAGAGACTCACACTCAGGAAGAATTTTGTTTTTAAGTTCAACGAAAAATGATTCTTAATTTACTCGACGTTTTACAATTTTAAAAATCTGAACCAAAAATCACTGATTTCGTTTTTATTCATTTTCTTGGGATTTATTCGAGGAAAAATTCCACACCAGTTTTTATGATAAATCAGCATAGCAACGTACGTATTTTAGTGGAACTTTTTTCTCTTGGTACCCACCGGTGAATTAAATCGACAAATTTTTGACGTTTTAATGAAAGAATAGATATTATGGCGCCCTAAATTAGTGATTTTGTGCTGCTACTGCAATGGATACAAATCAATTAATAGGCGAAGAACCCATTGGTGCCCAAACAATACATCTATCAAGTATACATGGTATAGGTATCTGTCATACCACTACCTGAGCCAGTGTAAGGCGTATTGAAGGGTAAGATTCGAACTCTTTGGTGCTGGATACGGTTTAACAGGATGATCTAATTAATCTGAGGTGAACGGACATACTACCCTTCACCAGAAGGTCACGGAAGCTCGGAAAGGAGAATTGGGAGGAGGAAGAGAGTAGTAATAATGTGTGCCTACTTGCTAGGCGACCGCCTCCCCTTTTACTGCACTACTATAGTTGTTCATAAGTTGGTTCATTTTCACTGAATCTCCGAAAAAGTGTTAACATTGAATAATTTGTCGCCTATAGAGACAATGTCATTAGGAAGTTCAGTTTTGAGAAGAACTTCCGAGTGGAACTGGGCAACAAGCGCGAATGGAGCATAGAATCCATCGAAGCGCTGGGAAGGAACACCATTAGTTGGTATACGGACGGATCTAAAACACCCGAGGGAACTGGAGCAGGTGTCTTTGGGCTTCGCACCCAATACGAATCCATGGGACAATTTCCCAGCATTTTTCAAGCGGAAATACACGCCATAGAAAGATATGCATCCAGTTCAACCTAGACAGGAAATACCAGAAGAAGGATATCGCGATTTTATCCGATAGCCAAGCAGCCATCAAAGCGTTGAGCTCTTATTCTAACATAAGCTCGAAGATGATATGGGAATGCATAAGCAAATTGAATGAGCTAGGCAGTAACAATAAAGTGATCCTCCTCTGGGTGCCAGGGCATATCGGAGTGGAAGGGAAAGAACAAGCAGACACTCTGGCACGACAAGGGGCCTCAACGCCACTGATCGGACCAGAGCCATTCTGCGGCCTTGGAAACTGTTTCCAAGGAGAACTTGAAAAGGCGGTAGGAGCCTTGAGAGCCAGACAATGGAGAGGACTTCAAGGCTGCGGCAGGCTAAAAATCTCCTCGGAAATTTCAACCGAGAAAGATCTAGGACACTGATAAACCTCAGCAAAGGAAGTCTCAAAGCAATAACGGAATTTCTAAGGGGGCATTGCAGACTCAAAGAACAGCTAAGGAAGCTGAGCTTACAGGAGGCCGGCACCTGCAGATTCTGTGAGGAAGAACCAGAACCCCCCCATCACATACTTATGGAGTGTGACGTTGTACATCACAAAAGATTGATCATACTGGGAACACACCAGCTGACTGTGGAAGAAATGCCACAACTAGATCCCCTCAAAATCCTCAAATTCCTCAAGCAATTGAATCTTGAGGGGATGCTATGAACAAGAAATCCTTGATATGGCAGAAGCAGATGGGGCACAATAGATCAAAGCGCAGCGCATCTGTCACCATCGAACCTACCAATACCAATACCAATAGGAAATTGTAAGCGAAACTATTGGTGCCGAAACTGCGACCCAAACTAAATTTATTATTGAAATTGATTAATCTCCAAACACAATCTGGTGTGAAATTTTCTTACCGAATTCCACACGAGGTTAAATTATTTCCTGAAATTTTTCGAGCTCATGGATATTTTGAAAATCATTCCGAGTCGAAGACGAGTGGTATTGCGAATGAAAATTTCAAAATTTTGCGTAAGCAGGTAATTAATCAGCACAAAGAAGTTGGAATTGTCAGAAATATTCTATCATCATTAGTTTCAGAGATTTGCCATGTACCTACAACACGCGAGTTCCCGAAATTAGCAAGAATTTTTAATTCTGGTGTTAGAAACCTGAGAACTATTCTACTACGCCACGAACCATTTTGCTGAATAGAAAGATGTCAACACTCCATTAGAAGGATAATTATTATTGATTTTGAATTGACTCGGCCGTTATTTGATGGAAATCCATGGCAAATGTAAAAACTTCACAAACGATAAAATTTCCACAAAATTCTCAAACACACGACATGTTTCGCTAACACAGTAGCTTCGTCAATGAGTTGCCATCTTAATTGTACCAGTATATCACCTGACGAAGCTACTGTGTTAGCGAAAGATATCGTGTGTTTGAGAATTTTATGGAAGTCTTATAGTTTGTGAAGTTTTTACATTTTTTAATTATTATTGAGACTAGAGATTCTATTATAGGATATATGCAGACAGACCCTGATAATTGGTTAGGTTAGGGAAACATTATGTACGGCATATTAATTCAAGAATAAAGTCAATAACATATTTAAATACAATTCTGTACATTTTCAGAGTATTTGAACGGAATAGCGAAATGAAATAGGGAATCTGGAAACGGACTCTCATTCTGACTGACCCTGTATAATCTACAGCGTTTGTCACCCAAAAACTCCGCACGCCCATATCTTGTCAACAAATGAAAACATTTAATATCTGTGAGAAGTGATGAGGTCAAGTAGATTTTTTTTAAGTTCAAAAAATTCAACGCCTATTAAGAGCTGAGCGTCGATACGCGTCGAAAATATAAATCGATTGCATTTCACTTTGAAATTACGCGCACTCAATAGTACCTGTTATTTATAAACTTTTTTGTGATTTACTCGAACCATAATTTGCTCAAGTCATTTCTGAGATATACCGGTTTATAGTGCACGTTTCGTGATTGACAATGACGAATATCATGAATATTAGTTACTTCGCAACCATTGTTATCGCATACAACTTGGAAAGATTTTTGCATCGGAGACTCTTCTACTCTTTTTGCTTCCCTACAATTTGTCCTGCATTCTCCAAACACCATTGCCAAATTGAACCATCATCATATAATTATTGTTAGTTGTTCAAACTGAACAAAATTGAATATTTCTTGATACAAAATATGACAATATCTCTGACACTGCCTAACGACAACATCTATCGCTCGTAAAACAATTGTGACAACAATGGTTGCCGAAGTTACTAATATTCATGACTTCATGACATACTTGCAAAAATCATCGCATTTATTGTCAATCAAGAAACATTTACTTTAAATCGGTATAACTCAGAATTGAGTGATATAAATAAGTTCTAGTTAATAACAAAAAAGTTTATAAATAACATGTACTGTTGAGTGCGCGTAATTTCAAAGTCAATGCAATTGATTTATATTATTGACGAGTCGCGACGCTCAGCTCTTACTAGGCGTTGAATTTTTTGTACTTTGAAAAAAATCATCTTGACCCCATCCGTTGACTACTTTTTACAGAAATTAAATATTTCCAGTCGTTGACATGATATTGGTACGGAGTTCTAACTGAAAAACCCTGTATAGGTATAAATATTTCAATTCGTTATTTCAGGGGTCGGACACCACTGCCAGCACAATCTGTTTTGCTTTCACAATGTTGGGCCTACACCAAGACCTGCAGGTATTGTAATATTATTATAAAAATCGAATAGCTTCTCATCTGTCATTTTCATCACGTTCTGGAATGAAATATAAAAGCCCAGAAACAGAGGAAGCGCCATTTCCGACTTCAACGGAAATAGCTACATCTTCTGAATTTTAGATGGAACACCCTGTATTCATTATGCCTTTTGGAATCTGCAACTAATTTCATGTAATAATACAGATATTGCAGTGCCATTTCAACTTTCATTTGTAGAATTGCAATCATCCACTGATGTCAACTGTTAGTGCCGATTACTAGAAAAATTGGGAATTTCATATCGACAGGATTTCAATAACCATTCTAGACCATACCTCCATTATGGTGGTATTAGTTAATAGTAGCATAGATTGTAGTAGTAGAAACACACTTTTATATAGGATCTTCTGTCTATAATAATTCAGGTGAAGATTTGTACTAGCTGCAAAGACGTAACTGATTAATAAAAATAGGGAGTTTTTGTATTTCGCGACATTGACACTCAGTCTCTGTCAACAATATTATTATGGTTGAAAATGTTACAACATTCGTCAGACTACTTGTGGTTGAGGTTCTTCGTGCTCTTCCTGGACCTGAACTGAATAATTTCAACATGCTTTTTGAAAAAATTTTACAATAACCCATGAGGGAATTTTTTTGTTAAATGTATGTATGATCCTAATTCCGTTTGTACCATAATGAGGCTTATTCTGGTGACCCTTGGTTATTTCTCAATATTAACGATATTCAATGATTGGTTATTGACAGATTTCAACATTGACAAAATGTCATATTCTGGTGCCACCCTTGAAGGATACACTTTTCAATATCAGTTTTCTGTGTAGCAATGGTATCAACGTTAAAAAATTCGGATAAATACCCTATATTTTCATATAACTATGAACAGTTGAAGATGAACTCTGATTGTTCTTGTCAAATCTTGACAGATTTGAAGTGATTTAAAGGTGAAAAAGTGTTTCTCTGGTTCCCCACTTCGTTCTCGAAAATGAATTAGAAAAGAACGAGTAAAACTCAGCTGACCATGTATCTGGGCTACATGAGTAATTATCCTGCCCTTCGAACAGGAAAGCATACAGAATCATTTAAATACTGATGAGTTATCAGGCATTTGGAGTAAAATGACGAATGCGCTGAATGAGTCTCCTAATCGCCAACTCGATCAATCACCATTTTGAAAATTATTATTCAAGTGATTTCTATTTTCACTCGTTGCCCAAATTGCTGGATCATGAACTGAACCTGATGGATACCGAGCATTAATTCCAAGGATTCTTGAATCAGCTCCACAGATTATCTGGTGTACATGCTGTAGAATCTTTTTCTATTATAGAATAGTAGACCAGGAAATTGTGCGTGCAATCAATATAGCCTATTATTCCCGAAATTCAATATTTTTGGGGAATTTAAGGAACTCTTTCAATGATTTGATAATTTAATTGAAATGAAACATTTACCTAGAAAACCATTCGGCCTATCAATGAACTTTTTTTCTCTTTTCTCTCTTCTCTTCAACAGTCATATAGGAGACCTAATCCTGTATGAAAAATTATCAACCAATATATCGGTCACCAATGTGATGGCCCGACTAAAGATGCCTGACTCAATGGACCGTTCAAGTCTTGGCCTACACCTTTTAGGTAACTTCCTTGAGCATAAAAATGCAATGCAGGAAGGATTAAGACACTTTTTGAAACTGCCAATGTTTCTCGGTCAGGATTTGGTGAAAAAGGACTTATTTCTACTATCAAATATTGAGCTGTAACTCTAGTCATTCTATACATATTCTTGAACAATCCTTCTGGAATATTCGACAAATCTGATTCTGTTCTCAATTGCCATTTTTTTCGATTGTCTTCTCTGATACAAAAAAATTAACTGTTCCTTTCCCTGAACTACCTATCAGAAAATCGAGATTATTCAGCCAGGTCCAAAGCATTGGTTCCTTTGTTATCATAGTAATTTCAACATACATTCAAAAACCTCACCACTTTCGTTAAGTTTGAGTTTGAGCCAAGAAACAAAGTGAACCAAGTAGAGGTGCTGAAGGTTTTATTATTTCGCTTATCAGGCACCTTCAACACTTTTATCATCACCATGACTGAAAGAAAACCTAATTGATTGCAAATTTCACCTTTCCTCCTCATTATTTATGGCCTGAATAAGTAATCCCACTTCTAAATTCGCCATTATCTTCATTGACTTAAAACTACCACAAGTACCACATTTTTTAGGTTAGGTATTTACAAAATTGGAATTTCAAATAGTTGCACATGCCTCAATGTCGTCGATTATTAATTTTTGGACCTTTTTGTAAATACTTGACGATTAAGTAATCTACACTTTCTCATTTGTCTTTTTGAAATTTCATGAATGTTACTTATTACTTGCAGGTATAGCACTGATGATGGCTTTTTAGCCGAAAGCGCTTTGCTATTTTACAATAATTTTACACGAAATACAAAATCTCTTCATTTCATTATAATTCAAACAATCAGTCTACCATCTAACAGTGACTATTGGTCGTGTTTCAGGAAAAGGTTTATAACGAAATAACCGAAATCATTGGACATGACCGTCCAGTAGACCCAAGCGACTTGCCCAAATTGAAGTACACCGAAAGGTTCATTAAAGAAACTCTTCGGTTATTTCCAATAGCAGGAATTATTGTGAGAGCTGTAGATGAAGATGTGGATATTGGTATGTGAATGAAGGAATATTGATAACGATCTAACCCCTTTAGTCCAATGATAATTACGATATAGTGAGATATCAAAGATTTTATTGGTCGATGGTGATAATTGAACATGAGTGCAGGAAATGAAATCCAAAATTTATTTTATTTTTTAAATTATGTCCAACTTTGACCAAGCTGATGGGCGTGTTGCAGTGACAATTTAATTCATATATGAAAAATCCCACAAGCCGCGTGATTTTGTCATTATGACAGCAAAAAAAGTTTGCCCTAACTTTTCCAGCGACAATAACGGAACCTAACTTTTGAAAGCATGACAACCAGCCATGAACAAATGTTTGATGAATTAAATTGTCTTACCGAATTACACTCCAGCTTTTTTTAGTCGAAGTAAACTTGGCATTTATAGTTTGAATTTCGTTGCCATTATAGGTAATTCAACTCAAAAAATTGCCAGAAAAAATTACTCGTCCTATGGGCTGGTAATTTTTTCAGAGGCAGTTTTTTTCGTCAAATTGCCAGGCTACAAAATTCTTATTGATTCATGTCAAGATTCGATTCGTTCCCGAAACGTCCAAAGATGAGTAATATGTAATATTTCCTCAATACAAGCTATATTCTTCTTCTTCAAATATTCTTCAAAGTGTCACTGACTAGCGATAAAATTTTGTCAATACGGAAATTCTAAGCGTAGTGATAATTTCAGGCAAATCATCTGATTTGTCCTTGTTTGTAATAATTCGAGTATTTTTTATGTAGTTACAAGGAGATAAAACCGCAAAATATATGTTATCTATAGAGAAGAGTTATTATTCTTATTATTATCGATTAATCTTTATTAATTTTAGGTGATTACATTATCCCTTCTGGGTGCTCGGTCGTGTTTGGAATATTGAGAATACAAACGGATGAGAAATATTGGCCAAATCCTTTCAAATTCGATCCAGATAGGTTCCTTCCAGATGAAACTGCAAAGAGACATCCATGTACCTTTGTTCCTTTCTCATACGGTCCCCGGAACTGTATTGGTGAGTTATAGTCATTTATACACCAAGGTAGTAAAGAATATCATTATTACCCAAGGACTAGGATTATATTCCGAGGCTTCAGCCGAGGGGAATAAAGTCCCGTGGTAATAGAATTTTTTACTACCAAGGATTATATTAAATTTTATTCACCACTAGCAATATATTTCAATCATTTTAGTTCTGTGAAACCGAAATATGGACCTATTGTCAATATGAAAGCACTTTTTCAATACTTATCCTAGACCATGACAGCATATGTCAAGTCGTTATTGATGAATACCTACCAGATTCGAGTGCCATTTCTGCGAATCTCTGATCAGAACAGTGCATTCGGGTTGATAACAACAGAGGTGGCTATGTCTTTATCGACTAGTGGTTCATAAAATGACGAAAACTACCTTTGTAGTAAAAACACACTTTACTTCTCGAAAAGGACAGAATAATAGTAGATTTTATAACTACTGGTGGAAAAACATATTCAATTGATAAATGAATAACTCATGCAAATGAATGACTTGACAGTGAGGAATAATGGGCTATGAAAAATTGTAAACAGATCAGTTTGAAGACATCAAAAATAAATTTTGACCATTTACATGTTTATTTACTCCATGGACAATTTCGTTCTCAATCTCTCCGATTTCAATCAACTACATTTTGACTAAGCTAGTTCTAGAACGATTTGTTCCGGATTATGGATGGATTATGTTAAGGTTATGTGTTGGAGAAATCAGTTATGTAATATGTACTGTATATAAAACAAGAGACTGTTTATTTTAGTTGCTAATAAATAACGTTCATCCCAAGTTGTGCTTTTCATATCAGAAGATATATTTTAGATTTTACCATAATATTAGCAATCCTGAAACACTCTGCTAACAGGTTATGGGCCCAGAAATACCCAGGAATATATCTAGAATATAAAAGTGAGCAGTTAGAACCCAGCAAGTGAAACCCCCATTAAAAATATCAATATTTTTGACAGTTTTCAAAAATAGAAAAATATTCTGACACCTTTCAAGAACCAAGATTTTTCTCTCGAGAATCAACTACAATGGAGGATTTTCAAACGCTAACTGCTCAAATAGAGGAACTCAAAGCCCAATTAGAACAGAGAAGTACTAGTAGATCAACTACTACCGTTATTTCTAATTCAGTTGGCGGTCTATCTGAGAGCAAACATTTAGATGGAACGAATTATAACGACTGGAAATTTTGGATGCGGAATTTTTTGGTTGATGCAGGTCTTTGGTGTTGTATCGAACCAAAACCAGGACAATCCGTAGATTCTGACCTCGATCAACGTACACTTGCCAAAATCAATTTATCTCTCAAACCTTCAGCTGCAGCAGAGACAAAAAAGGCTCGAACAGCCAAGGAAGCATGGGATAATCTGAGGAAAGCGTACGAAGACAGTGGTGTGGTTCGCCTCGTTAGTTTATATTCAAGTCTGTTCAAAACCAAATTCGACCAATGTTCATCCATGCAAGAATATGTTGATAAAATCATAAAAATAGCCGAGCAATTGGAGAATATTGGTGAGCCTTTCAAAGATAGTGTAGTTGGAGGCATAATTTTGGGAGGACTACCGGAGGACTATAAACCACTGATTTTGGGTATTCAAGGTTCAAAGCAAGCCACATCAACCGATTTTGTCAAGAATCTTCTTCTACAAGAAAATGTTAAAGAAATTGGTTCCAAACCAACAGTTTCTTCAGAAGCAGCATTTTATAGTAAGAAATATTCAGCCAAGAAAGTACAGAACTTCAGAAAAGGACCTAGATGCTACAATTGCAATGAATATGCAAATCACAAAGCAACTGAGTGTCCTAAGCCTAAAAGATCTAGCTATGAGAACAACCGTAAAAAGCAAGAAAGTAGTCATTTAGCTCTGACTTGTGATATTTCCAGTAAACAGCCTACCGAAGATTGGTACGTGGATTCCGGTGCAACAGCCCACTTCACTTCATGCCGTAGTATGTTACATGATTTTCAAGTGGACACTAGCCGAGATTTGGGCATTGCCAATGGTAATAAGCTTCAGTGTACTGGATATGGCACAGCCAAAATTGTTCTCAAAAATAACAACACTGTTTCAATTGATGATGTTGTCCATGCTCCGGATTTATCTTTGAACTTATTGTCTGTTAGTAAAATCGTGAAGAAAGGAAGATCAGTCATTTTTGATCAAGAATATGGGTGCAGAATTACCAATGAAATGATTGAACTTGACTCTGGAGGGATCGTAGCTACAGCCTCAGAAATCAACGGCATGTACAGACTTGACAGACAATCTTTTTCAATTCATTCTGTGAAGGTACTGAGTAACTATGAACTTTGGCATCAACGATTAGGCCATTTAAATGAATCCTCGATGAAATCACTGAAGAATGATTTGTCTACTGGAATCGACTACAGCACCGAAAATTCTCAACTACAATGTGAATCCTGTATCAGGGGTAAATTACATCGCAAACCATTTCCACAATCTGTTGGACAGCGAGCTGAAGGTATCCTAGAAATAATTCACTCTGATCTGGTTGGGCCTATGCAAGAAAAATCTATCGGTGGAGCTTTGTACTTTTTGACATTCACGGACGACTTCACAAGAAAGTCTGTAGTATATTTCCTCAAGAGTAAGAATGAAGTGATTGAAAAGTTCATAGAGTATAAAGCAATGGTCGAAAATCAAACAAATCGTACAATGAAGTGTCTTCGAACAGATAATGGTACTGAATATGTTAATAACAAATTTCTACATGTATTGAAGCAGTATGGTATCCGGCATCAAACCACAATACCTTATACACCTCAGCAAAACGGTGTAGCTGAAAGACTCAACCGAACATTAGTAGAAAAGGCTAGAAGTATGTTATTGGCATCACAACTGAGTAAGGAATATTGGGCCGAAGCGGTGAATACAGCGGTATACCTCAAGAACCGATCTCCTACAAAGGCACTTCATCATGCAACACCTGAGGAGGCTTGGACTGGCAGAAAACTGAATTTATCGAATCTTCGAATTTTTGGATGTAAAGCTTTCGTACATACTCCAAAAGAGAAGAGAAGAAAATTGGATGCTAAAGCTGAGGAGTTTATTTTTGTAGGATACAGCGAGAATTCGAAGGGATACAGATTCATTCACCCAGTATCTAAAAAGTTAACGATGGCTCGAGATGTGATTTTTCTAGAAAATCAAATTTCACATATCACCCAGAATGATTGTATGGAATTATTCCCCAGTAATTATGTTGAAGAAGACGACATTCAACACCAATTCCGAATAACAGAAACTGTTGTTGAAGTGGGGGAAAGTCCGTCTACATCAACATCCGATGGTTTGGCGAATGATGATCAATCCGATGGTTTGGCGAATGATGATCAATTCAGAAATTGGACATCAGACACTGAGGAAGAAGAAATACCAATGATAGCCGAGAAAGTAGAAACACCCGTTATTGAAAATGAAAGTCAATCCAGAAGATCAACACGTACGAATCGACCGAATAGAATGATTTTCAACGAAGACTACTTTCTATATCAAGCTATGCTAGATGTCAGCTGTGACCCCAGAACTGTGGAAGAAGCACTGAATGGGCCAAATTCAATTCACTGGAAAATGGCTATGGATGAAGAACTGAAAGCTCATTCCGATAACAAAACCTGGTTGATTTGTGATCTTCCTGCTAATAAGAAGGCAGTTAGAAGCAAATGGACTTTCAGAACCAAATTCACAGTAGACGGTGAAATTGAACGGTTCAAGGCTCGACTGGTAGCAAAAGGTTATTCGCAAATACCTGGCATCGACTATGAAGAGACCTTTTCCCCTGTTGTGAGGTACAGCTCCATAAGACTACTTCTCTCGCTGGCAGCACAGAATAACTGGGATATAGACCAGATGGACGTGGTCACTGCTTTCCTACATCCAAAGCTGAACGAGGAAATATATATGGAACTACCGAACGGAAAAATATGTCGTCTCTTGAGAACACTGTATGGGTTGAAACAATCAAGTAGGACCTGGAATCAAGAACTGGATAGGGCTATAAAAGATTCACACTTTCAGCAGTCCAACATAGATCCATGTATTTATTTCAAAACAACAGATGGTAAAATTCTTATAATTGCCATTTATGTCGATGATCTCCTAATTTTCTCTGAAGATGAAAATCAAAAGATGCAATTGAAATCAGACCTTATGAAGAGATTTCGAATGAAAGACTTAGGTAAGGCGCATTACTGCCTTGGAATGCGTATTGAACGTGACAGAGAGAATAGTTTGATAACATTAGACCAAGAAAAATATATAGAGGAAGTACTGGCACGATTCAAAATGAGTGATTGTAATGGTGTTCAGACTCCACTTGACCCAAACCAGACTCTTTCCAAGGAAATGCAACCTAGTGATGAAAAGGAAAAGCAAGAAATGTCTACAGTTCCATATCAGGAAGCTATAGGCAGTCTCATGTATGCAGCCCAGTGCACTAGACCGGATATTGCATTCGCCGTAGGAAAGCTAGCCAGATTTAGCAACAATCCCGGAAAAGTTCACTGGACCGCTGTAAAGCGTATTATGAGGTACTTGAAGAAAACTTCTTCATTGAAATTGAGCTTCTGCGGATCAAATCAAGAACTTCATGGTTATTGCGATTCCGATTGGGCTGGAGATTCCGAAGACCGAAAGTCTACAGCCGGTTATGTATTTGTACTATCAGGAGCAGCAGTGAGTTGGAGTTCTAAAAAGCAGGCAACTGTTGCACTCTCAACAACAGAAGCCGAATACATGGCTTTGACCCTAGCCACTCAAGAAGCTATATTCGTCAGAAACTTGTTGAATGAGATTTGCCCAGAGAGTTCCAAGACAATCACAATTTTTTGTGATAATAAGGGCGCAGTGGACCTCAGCAAAAATGCGGGATATCGACCACGAAGCAAGCATATAGATATCAAGCACCACTTCGTCCGTGAAAGGCAAAAGCTAGGAGATATCAAGGTGGAAATAATCGGGACCGAAGATATGCTTGCAGATTGTTTAACCAAGGGACTTGTTGGCGACAAACTGTCTTCCAATTGTAATAAATTAGGATTGAAGTAATATTACATAAAGTGGGGGTGTTGGAGAAATCAGTTATGTAATATGTACTGTATATAAAACAAGAGACTGTTTATTTTAGTTGCTAATAAATAACGTTCATCCCAAGTTGTGCTTTTCATATCAGAAGATATATTTTAGATTTTACCATAATATTAGCAATCCTGAAACACTCTGCTAACATTATGGAGTGAGTGTAACTGTTATAGAATAATAGAAATTCAAATGGTGTAATCCCAGTCATTGTTGCAAACAAATTAGGGAGCTATTCTTCAGATAATGATGGAGATTTGTCAAAATGATTGCACTGAAGCTCTGGAATATTTCCCATAGTTGGTGTCATCTATCGTTGAATATGTGAACCCCATGTCATCGATTGAATTCAATTGATGAATTTGTTTTAAGGCTTTATTCAAATAATTCACAATCTGATCTTAATTATTGTTAATCTAGTACATAACTGTTTTCGACGCTATTTGAAAAATAATTCCAAATCTATTCTAATCTGATCTTCATTCAGTGACATTATTGTTAGAGATTCTTTTTGAAAAGTTTCAAATATTTTGTTGTTGATATGTTATCGGCTTCCCTCAAAGCAACCGGTAGAGAATTACAAGTTTATTGAGAGGGTATCAAGTACCACTCCGACAAAATCATTGTAGAGGGAATATACCATAGGTTCTTTTATCAGTGTATAAATTATTATACACTTCTTGATTCTTCGAACCACTAATATCTGGAAACTTCTATCTATATGGTAAATACAGTGTGTTTCGTTACAGCTGTAATTATCCTCGTAACATACCTTCAAGGTAGTTAATGAATTATTTCTGAATCACCATTTCATGTCTGACGGTGATGAAACATAACCCCCAAAAAGTAAAGAATGTATATTGGCGTTTTTTGAATGAAGAAAAATAGTAGGTTCATTCTATTCTTATCTAATGAACTACATATTTGATCATGAAATGGAGAAATGGTCCAAATAAAGTATTTTTTTCATTTCTAGGTCCGAGATATGCAATGATGGTAATGAAGACAATATTATCCCATGTTTTGAGAAGATACAAGATTCACACCTCTTACCAAAGTGTCAAAGATATTTCTTTGAAAGCAAATTTAGTTTTGAGACCCAAGGATGGTTATAAAGTTTTCATTGAACTCAGAAAAGATTAATTCCTACTTGATGTAACAAAATATTTGTAATACCTATGATATTCAATAAAGTGATTGTCTCTCATAAGAAAGCAAGTTTCAGGTTCCAGAATAAAATTAATATATCACTTGTAGAAAAATATATTCAAAATTCAACAAAAAATAGACTAGCCGTCAGTAACAACAAATTATATATCATTTGAAAGAATTTAAATTTTCATTCTACGTAAATTCTACTAAACCACTTATTGTCCTATTTTCCATCACTCAGATACTGTCCATTTCAAACAATAACAATGAAGTTAACAGACGAGAAAAAACAATGAAATAATTCGCAAGAATGGATATAAAACCCACAAGGATGTACTATATATTCTTTACACACCAACGTGTATACAGATTGTTTGTGGAATCTTTACATATAGGAAAAATAAGATAAAATAGCATTTGACAAGATCGCAGTCAAGGAGAGCAACGTTCACCGTTAGACAGTTTGACGCATAATTAATTTCAGTTTTGAATCTGTTCCGACGATCCAACGGAGACGTACGATAGCCGGATCATGTTGCCATTCACATGACCTATATGTAACGATTCGGGAAACAATCTGTATATACCAAGCCCAATAGGTTATGTCCTATCAAAAATCTTATAGGTTTGATTAAATGTGGAAAAAAGTTGCACAACTAAAAATCAATTTTGTTTTTCGAAAATATTTTGGAAATTGCAGTAAGTATACTCATTATCGACATCCTTATCTTGGACATAGTGAACTTATAATCCACCAATTTGAAAATATATATTCTTCGTCAGTTAGAATTCATGAAGTATTCAACTGAACCATACATGACTCGTTGTGTAATAATTTGAAGAGATAAACATGAAAGTGATATTGAACGATAAAACAAGATTGTTGAAATAAAAAAATAGAAAACTTCCAGAATATAACATTATGATTATAAATAGATTGTAAACATTTTTCAGCTGATTGAAATTATGTGCTCAGGTAATTTTTACAGAAACTACAAGTCTAATATGAATCTCAAAGTATGAAAAATCAGGATATCAAACAGAGTATTCAGCAATAATCCAAATTAGAAAACAAAAACATTTTATGAATATCTATGCGCACAGAGAATTCCAGATATTGGACAATTTTACATATTCGTTCAAACCAAGTGAACTTCCACTAGCATGCATGTATTCCTATGATTACCAATTTATATATCTGAAATCTTCCATTCACCTCATCAACTAAAATGGGTCGAGTTGAATATGTGATTAAAATCGTATTCCGGTGGCGTACCTACCTACTTGTATTTTCGTCCTTACTTTTTAAGAAATGTTTGTACCAAAAATCAATAAGATGATATTTTCAATATACTATGATGTTAACTATAGGCTTTGTGTTGAAGTAGAATCAACGGATTGGAAAACAATTTTTTTTTCTCTTTTGGATCACATGAAAGGGAATTCCTATTTTGTTGCAACTAGATGTTTTGCACATCTCATCCCAAACCTATATATTAACAGTTCCATTTTTTTTTATATTTGAGTAAAGTGAGTCACAGTCAGTCAAACAGAACATTGCCTGACAAACCAAAGTATTTTTCAACTACCTAATCGAATGGCACAAGTAATTTCAATCAAATGAGCAGAATCATCTAATTAGTAAAAACAATTTTTTCATTCCTATTGACCTAACTAAACTTTCAAGTGAAAGTAAAGACTTACTGCTATGCTAACAATATCATTACTTAGACTTTGGCCAAGGCTATTGCAGTTCTAGAAGGTATGTAGACCTGCAAATATTGAAAATGATTAGTTTATCAGTTGGAAAAACAAAATGAATCATTCGAACTGCTTATACTTTCATAAATATTAAGTACACGAAGTTGACGAGAGAGCAGAAAACTTAACTACTCAGTACTAACGATGCAATGTGTCTGTTATCTGAGTAACAGGGTCGTTCATTCAAAAATGCGAAAATTCACATTGTTATTATGTTTTTTGTTAATAGGAATTGAAGTCTAATGTGTGTAATAAATACGATCCAATGAACAAGAACACTGACATTATTCAACTTGTGCAACTTAAAATTATGATAATATTGCAATTCCCCCAGTGACGTAGGATTTGAGAAGGATTCACCAGACACTTGTCCCTGTTTTATGTCTCTGGTAGTAGCTAGAAACTGTTATTTAACATAATCTAGTGGGTTCTACACTTCCCACCATATAACTACAATAACAATATTACGTCAAATAGTTCTGAATTACTGGGCATAAATAATTTATAATTATTTAAATAACACCCTGTAACTCAGACAAGACACATCTTATACAGTGTGTGTCACTTCTAATGGAAACACCCCTGCATCTTACATATTCGTTGGGTAAGGATCCTGAAATTTGCTGGAACGGAAGATATACCAAAAACGTACTATATGACGGAGTGGAGTCATCTTCAGTGATATACACTGCTCGCCAACAGTCATGGAACCACCCCAATTTCCGGAAAATGATATTTGGAGGCAAACTAGATTGAAAATCACTTTGGAATCGGAATCAGGACACCCAAATACACTAACTACTATTCGAATTTTTCCTGGGAAATTTTGAGTTCTGAAAATTTCATTTTTGTCTCACTTTTCATAGAAACACCATCGAATTTTACGTAATCGTTGGATTGGGGTCCTGAAATTTGCTGAAGCGAGACATTTATAAAAAATGTAGTCTATGACCAAGTGGGGTCATCTAGACAAGTATGGCTGGCTGCACAGTAAACATCGTCTGTGAGAGCTCTCAGTTTGTTTCGCATTTTCAGTGGTAAATCGTCGAAACAGAATACGAATTTGGTTGAATTGTGTCATAAAGAAAGCGACATTTTCCCGAAATATTGGATGAATAGGATTAAGTATTATCAATAGGATTTAGTGGAAATCATTAATTTGATTTGATTATAATTGTCATTATATTTTGTTTCAACTATTTCAGTAAACATAAAGGAAATTTTTACCACTTATTGTAGATGGATATATTTTAATCTAATGAGCTCACACTTCGATTTTGAATTGATGCTAGCTGAACTTAACATATATTTTCAAAATTGTAGAGGGTTGAGAACGAAGTGTAGCGATTTTTTTGGTAGTTGTCTTAATCAAGACTTTGATTTTGTGGTGGCAGTCGAAACATGGTTGAAAGAAGGAGTTAGAGACGGAGAAATTGTTGATAACAGTACATATAACCTAGTAAGAGCAGACAGAAATCTTGAATTAACAAACAAATCAACTGGAGGTGGTGTTTTCATAGCTATAAAAAAGGAAATAAGAATTCTGAGAATTGTAAGGCAGAGTTCTTTATTTGAAGCAGCTTTTGTTGAAGTAAAAATTGGTAACGGTAAGTATGTTTTTTGTGCCCTCTATATACCATCAGGAAGCGTATGCGCTGTATATGAATCTGCTATCGTTTTCTTGCAAAGTAATTTGATAGATTGTGATATGGATAAAGTATATATCATGGGAGATTTCAATATCAAGGATATTACTGGAATAAATTATAATCGCCATATTTATAATAATAATATCTTAACGTGCTTTGAAGATTTCTTAGATTTCAATGGATTTCAATTATTCAATAATGTACAGAATTTCCAGGGGAGAACGTTGGATTTAGTTATTAGTTCTGAGAGTAACTCGTCTAGTTGTATCGTACGAAGAGACAATCTTCCATTTGTTATTGAGGATGTATATCACCCTGCTCTAGATATTGAAATCAATATAAATCTAATTAACCATGAGAGAATTAAGCAGAACTTAGGAGAATTCGAATATAATTACAAAAAAGCTGATTTTCTTAGATTAAGTGAAATGATGAGGGATACTGATTGGTCAAGTGTGATAGCAGTAAAAAATGTGAATGAGGCAGTAAAAACATTATACGGTAAATGGAATGAGATTATTAATGAATGTGTACCAAAGTACAATGTGTATAGAAACTCAAAGAAATATAAGATATGGTTCACGAAAGAAATTAAAGACTTGCTGAAGGAAAAAGAGAGGGTTAGAAAACTAAGATTTGTATCTGATATATAATAATCTTTCTATACAAATTATTGAATCATAAAATCAATTCCCCTGAACTACTATCTAGAATCAGATTCAATGTGCCTGCAGGACTAACAGGAAATATTCTTATGTTCAATGTACCTCTAGTTTGTACTACCGCAAGGGCTCCACTTATAATCATGTTGCGGCTTGCCAATACAATGAACTCAATGATATATAGATTGGACATTGTCAATGAGAGGATTCAGAAAAATCGCTACACATCATATCAACAATTTCAATTGAAATTCAGCAGACTGTGAGTTATATTTGGAATTACTTATTAGACAAATATTATGTTATTTTGAAATATTTATTCATGTAATAAGGCCTTGTTTGGCCTGTTTGAATAATTAATAAATAAATAAATAAATAAATAAATCTCCAGTGATAAACACTGCTCGCCAACAGCCATGGAACCACCCCAATTTCCGGAAAATGATATAAGGAAGCAAAGTCTTGTCTCCTGATATTATTTTCCGGACACGTGTGTAGTTCCACGGGCAAGCAGTATATATTAGTGATGATGACCCCACTTGGTCATAGAGTATATTTTTGGTATATCTCTCGCTCCAGCAAATTTCACGATCCTAATCCAACGATTACGTAAGATACGGGGGTGTTTCCATGAAAAGTGAGACAAAAATGAGATTGTCGGAGCTGAACATTTTTCCAGAAGAATATGAATAGTTAGAGTATTGAGTGACATGATTCGGAATTCGAAGTGATTGTCAACCTATTTTGACTCCTAATATCATTTTTCGGAAATCGGGTTGGTTCCATGGCTGTTGGCGAGCAGTGTATATCACTGAATATGACCCCACTTGGTCATAGAGTGCATTTTTGGTATATCTCTCGCTCCAGCAAATTCCAGGATCCTTACCCAACGATTACGTAAGATACAGGGGTGTTTCCATTAGAAGTGAGACACACTGTATAGGTGATTTGGTTTAAATCTTCATAGTTTGAGCTCAGGCTTCAATAGCTGAAATACTTTCAATTATCAATTGTACTGTCAGCCTATGTGTTGTCAAATCCTATGAGGATTTGACAACACTGTTATTTAGGGTATTTAGTTTCTAAGTTGACATATGACAGTGAACCTGTCATTGTATGTTCCATGTCAGAAAGTTAGGTGGTCAATTAGTTTTATGATTTGTGCTTCTTGTTCTGGGTCCACTTTGAGATGATATTTTGTATCACCTTATAGATTGTATAGGTTTATTATATCTTGACTGCGTTTGCGAGCTATGCGAAAGGGACAAGATTAAAAGTTAAGAGGTACAAGGAGAATTACCGGAGCATCATTTCAACACCCAACGGAACATCAATGACACACCCTGTATATTTCAATTTGAAAAGTTAGTCGAATTGGCCTAGTGTTGGCGTAGCAATATTGATCATTGACAGCATTAAAAACGATATAGGATAGCGGAATGAAACGTTCTGTTCATTCAATTTTACGCAGGATTATTTGTGATCACTTCATTGATATGGGTTCCAAAAAGTATAAATGTTCAAAATCGCCCTGTATCTCATAAACAGAAGTAGATAAGCAAAATCTCATTAGAGGGCATCTTGAGTTTCACACAAAAAGGAAAGAAAAGTGAGAGCAGCAAGGTTTTATCATTAACAACATCCGGGAAACCGAGTTGGAAAAAAAGTGAAAGCCGCAAGGTTTTATCTTTAATAACAACCGAGAAACCTGGCAGTGTCACCAAAATGGGATGCACTGTATACAATTCATCATCAGGTATATTCCAACATTTGAATACTCATTTCACTGGGGTAAAAAAATATTGTTTTTTTCAATACGTCGCAGCACCTATACTTCAAACAATTCATGAAAACATTTGACATTATTGTATGGCCATCAATCCAAACCCAATTTCCAAATGAATAAACTGTAATAACCACAGAACTCCAAGACCTACAAGGCAAATGCTGAAATCTGATACATTCAGTGTGCTCACGGCAATGGTAATCATGCGCACATTGTCGACAACATTGTCAGTTATATATATTTTTATACGTGAATTTCATATTTATGCATTAGGATGTAGTTCATGTTCCTTATAAAACTTCTTTTAACTGATGACCAACAGCTTCACAAAAATCGTATATAAAATTTTCCCGACAAAATTCATAAACTCACTGATATTAATTGAATGGTTAACTAGAGATCTATGAATTATTATAACGTTCTAATTCCTCATGAGTTCATCTGGTAACTGTGTAAGAATGTACCTCTGTCATTTTGTTTGACGTAGACTTAAGACAGAGCCGGATTAGTTTCAGTTTTTCAGTGTTTTGCTTTCCGTTTATTAACGTCTTTCGTTAGTGAATTTGAGATTATTTGAGGGTTTGGGTATTTTACTCCAGTTTGGGTGTTTTATTGTAGTCATAGTGACAAATACAGTACTTATTAGATCCGACATTCATTGACTGATTTGTGTTTTCAAAATGATTGTTCGATAAATCAATGAGGTATTTTGTATGACTTTCATTGTGTTATTATTTCACAAAATCTCAATACTATTGTGGCACCCTGTATTTCTATATTTTGATAGTGAGTTATGTTATGTCAAGTTGTTGTCAATTATTAAAAAAGGTAGAATTGAAACTTGAATTAGTCCAACATTGGTGACCCCGAAAGAACATGGTTCTACTTATACAAAATATCAAAAAAGAGCAACT